GTTCCCATTGGCACGAACACTGTGGTCCCTCCGTGTCCTCACACACATTTGATGTCATCAGTCGATCTCTCTACTGGAGGATTCGAACAGAGTAGTGGCGTTATTTGTTTTTTAATTTTATTTTATTGGGGCCCCTGGGCGGTTTAGTGGGTTAAGCATCTGCCTTTGGCTCAGGTCATGATCCCGGGGTTCCGGGATCAAGCCCCATGTCGGGCTCCCTGCTCATCAGGGAGCCTGCTTCTCCCTCTCCCCTCTGCTTGTGCTCTCTCTCAAATAAATAAATAAAATCTTTAAAAACTTTATTTTAGGGGCACCTGGGTGGCTCAGTGGGTTAAACCTCTGCCTTCAGCTCAGGTCATGATCCCGGGGTCCTGGGGTCGAGCCCTGCATCTGGCTCTCTGCTCTGTAGGGAGCCTGCTTCCTCCTCTCTCTCTGCCTGCCTCTCTGTCTACTTGTGATCTCTCTCTCTCTCTGTCAAATAAATCAAATAAATAAAATCTTTAAAAATAATAATAATAGGGGCGCCTGGGTGGATCAGTGGGTTAAGCCACTGCCTTCAGCTCGGGTCATGATCTCAGGGTCCTGGGATCGAGCCCCGCATCGGGCTCTCTGCTCAGCGGAAAGCCTGCTTCCCTTCCTCTCTCTCTGCCTGCCTCTCTGCCTACTTGTGATCTCTCTCTGTCAAATAAATAAATAAAATCTTTAAAAAATAATAATAATAATAATAATAAAACTTTATTTTATTGTGGTAAGGACACATTTATCATGAGATCTACACTCTTAACAGATTTTTAAGTATACCATATAGCATTGCTAACTATAGGCACAGTTTTGTATGGTAGATCTCTAGAACTTATTCATCCTGCATAACTGAAATGGTACTAGTTGATGAGCAGTTCCTCCCTGCCCCCTGTCCCTAGAAACCACCATCCTGCTCTTTGCTTCTAGGAGTCTGACTGTTTGGGATAACTCACATGAATGCAATCATGCAACGTTTGTCTTTCTGAGTCTGGCTCATTTCACTAGCATCATGTCCTTGAGGTTCATCCATGTGTGTGGGATTTTCTTCTGTCCTAAGGCTGAGAACATCCCACTGTATATACCAATGAGCCTTTATCCGTTAATCTGTCAACACACATTTGGTTTGTTTCCAAAACTCGGCTATTGTAAATACTGCTGCAAAGAACATGGGAGTGTTAATATCTCTTTGAAATCCTGGTGTCAATTATTTTATTTCTTATTATTTTTTAAAGATTTTATGTATTTATTTGACAGAAAGAGAGCACAAGCAGGGGAGCGGCAGGCAGAGGGAGAGGGAGAAGCAGACTCCCCGCTGAGCAGGGAGCCTGACGAGGGATTTGATTCCAGGATGCCAGCATCATGACCTGAGCCAAAGGCAGAGCCCCCCAGGCATCCCTGATGTCAATTATTTTAGATAAATACCCAGAAGGGGGATTGTTGGATCATATAATAGCTCTAGTTTTAAGCTTTTGAGTAACCTCCATACTGTTCTCATAGTAGCTGCACATTTTGCATTCCCATAGACAAAGGTCAAAGGTTCCAGTCTCTCAACATCATTACCAACACTTGTCTTTTGTTTTTCTGGCAACAGCCATCCTAACAGGTGTGAAATGGTATTTCATTGTGATTTTGATTTGCGTTTCCCTGGTGATTAGTAACATTGAGCATCTTTTTAAAAAGTTTGTTTGTTTTAGTAACCTCTACCCCTGGCGTGGGGCTCAAACTCAAAACCCCAAGGGGTGGAGGAAGGGTGACGATTCAGCCCCCAACCTCTTCCATTCAAACTGTAGCCCTGACACTGGCAGCTGGACAACCTGGGGGCAGTTTCACTTGCCTCCTGCCTCAGTTTCTTCATCTGTAAGTGCCTGCTTCCTAGGGCCATATAAGGAGCAAGCAAGGGGGTGAAGAGCTCGAGACCACCTGGCGTGGTCTCCCAGAAAAGGCCCAGCTTCAGGCTTGCTGGGGTCCCTCGGCTAGGATTACTGGATCTAGCAATGGAGGCATAATCGCTTACTATAATCATGCCCCCAAGTGGAATGTCATTTGTTGTTTCTCCGAACTTCCTATTTACCTGGGCACCGTGTATTTGCTCTGGCAGCCCTACCCGGGCATGAAGTCGTCTCCTAAACCCTGAGCACTGCCTGCAGAGGACCAGGCAGAGGGTCAGGCAGAGCTGAAGAAGGCTGGGAGTGTGCCCAGGTCTGGACACCCCCGGCCCTTCACCTAGGCTGAAGTGGACAGGTGGAGCTGGGGACGAACCAGCCAATGAAGCCACTGTCCTGAATGCCAGCCGGATGTGCAGCCCACGCTGGATGGTGCTGGGCTGAGCAGAGCCCTGTGAAAAGGTTCAAGCAAGCCTGAGCAGCCACCGAGCTGGCCTCTCCCACCCCCTCCTGCCCTGCATCTCTGCAAACAAACTTCTTTGGCTAACATGAATGGATCCATTTAAGAGCAGACTTCATGGCCTTTACTATGGGCCACATGCTGTTCTAGCCACTCCCCACATGTTTCTATTTTTAGCTGGTGCATAACAAAAAACCACTCTGAAATTCAATGTCATAAAGCAGCTGCCATTTCATTAAGCTTAGGGCTATTGTGGGTCAGGAACCCTTGTAATGCAAAGGGCTGATTTGGGTCGGCCCCTCCTATGTCCAATGTCCGATGTCCGAGATGGAGGGAATGACAACTGACTGGTGGAAAACAGCAAAGATCTAAGTTCCTCCTCAGAAGAAGGTACAGCTGGGGCGGGGGTGGAGCTGGGTGACTCAGTCGATCAAGGGACTGCCATCCGCTCAGGTCTTGATCCTGGAGTCCTGTGTGGGGCTCCCTGCTCTTCCCCCTCTCCTGCCCCTCCCCTTGATCATGCGCTATCTCTCACTGTCTGTCAAATAAATAGATAAAAACTTTAAAAAAGAAAAAGAAAGTACAGCTGGAGGTTCATGAGGGAAAACCACCTGGCAGAGAGGGGTTAGGCTGGGAAAGAAAGCTTGAAACCCCTGCTACAGAAGAACTCTGGCGGGGGGCAGCAGGGATAGGCTGGGGGGCAGCAGGGATGGGCTGGAGGCAGCTGAGATGAACTCTGGGGGGCAGCAGGGATGGGCTGGGGTCTGGAAATGCTGGGCTCCCACCCCTTTACCTCCTCACATCCCCACCAAAACAGTCCCCACCAAAATGCATACCACACACTTGTATTAAGTTGGGCTGTGGGCCTTGGGAGGAGAAGTGAGGGGACTGGCCTGAAAACCAACTCCACAAAGGCAGGGTGACCCAGGGAGGCCAGGCTCATGTGAATTGTGGTGGGGGGTCAGTGGTCAGGAGGGAAGTACGCTTCTTGGCCATTTCTGGCCCCATGGATAGGGCTGGACACTTAGCTGTGCCACTTGCCAGCTGACAAACACCCTCCCTTCTCTGAGCCTCCATTTCTCAGCCTGAAAGACGTGCACCTCATAGCATCATCATGAGGGTTAAGCGAAGTGCGTGTGTTGAGCTCTCACAAGAAGGCCTGGGAAGACAGAGGACCTGGGGCCCAGGAGCAACATCTGTGAGTGTCATGGGCCAGACAGAATTTTGTCAACACTGAGCAGGTGTCTCAACTCTTCTGGGGCCTGGAAGCCTTGAGCGCCTGGGCGGTGGACACCCCTGCCCGCCACCGTGTGGAGGACAGCAGCCCAGTGAGGCCTTGGGGGGCCCTCACTGCCTAGGAAGCAGCAGGCACTTCTGCTGCTTCCTAGGCAGTGAGGACCCAGCTGCTGTGGCCCAGAGCAGCGCACAGATCCCCACTCTCCATATGGCCATGTCAGTCACAGACACTGTGGCCTGGCCAGTGCATGTGTGGGGTGGGGGGACACTCTTCTGGGGGTAGCGAGCAAGTGTGGCCAGGCACACAGCAGGCCCCCAGAGCATCGGCCTTTAGAATGTGCTTCTCCACTACTCGGGGACCCCAGAGGCCCAGCCTGTGTCAGGAAGAGAGCCCAAGACTTGCACCCTGTTGGGGGCTTCAGTTTCCTAGCCTGCCTCAGGGCCAGTGGTCTCCTTGGCTTTCCTTCTTCTGCAAAGACGGGCCAGGCACCAGTGTGCCACCGGCACTGAAGCCGCTTTGACGTCCCAGGTGGAGCTAGGCTGGAGGAAACCCCTGGCTTCCAGGGACTGGGTGTGGGAAGGCAAATGGAGCCAGAGCTGGGCTCTGTGGTGGGCCCCTTCCAGGCGCCCGTGCCGTCGGACACAGGATTGCCACCAGGGGGCGCATGAGGCCAGCACAGGGCTCCCTGCCAGGAGAGTGGGAGTGGGGGTGAGGCCTGGGTGCAGTGGCCACAGCTCACTGACCCCCACCAACCCCTTCCCAAGGGCCCAAGACTGAAGTCTCCAACATACCACACTTTTCTGCGGAGTGTTCAACGTCCTCCCTTCCCACCTCTGGTTCGGGTGTCTGGCGGCTCGCCAGAGGAAAGCTCTGGAGCGCGGGCCTCCCCGTCGGAGACGAGGGAGCGTGGCCCATCTCCAGGACTCTGCCTCCGGAAGCTCCCAGCTGCTGAGCCTTCAGAACCTACAGGCTCTCCGCACAGGCCAGCCCCAGCCAGCGGCCTGGGAGACAACGGCCCTTTCCTGCCCTGGGCCTCCCTGTCAGCCCCTCCTCCCACCTCAAGACCCAACTTTCTAGAATAAAAAGAAATCTCCAGCACCAGGCAGGGATATCTGACAGCAATAAATTTATTAAGTATCCCCCCGCCCCAAAATAAAAACACAAACCAGTAAAAAAGAAAAGAAAAGAAAACCAAACGAACCATAAAATAGGCCTGGAGCTGACAGGAAAGCAGACACAGAAGTGGACCTGACCTATGATGAGAAGAGGGACTCACGTGGGGTGGGGATGCAGTAAATACGGGGAACCCTAGGGTGCCGCGGCCGGAGCTGGCGGGGGCGAGGCTGGGGTGGTGTTAATGGCGACATGGCTCTGGGGTCAGGCCTCCGGGACCACAGCCTGGCTCTGGCCCTCTAGCCGCCTCATTTGGGGCCCTGAGCCTCAGACTCCTCCTCGTCGTCTTCGTACATCTCGCCCTCCTCCTCGGCCGTGGCATCCTGGTACTGCTGGTACTCGGACACCAGGTCGTTCATGTTGCTCTCGGCCTCGGTGAACTCCATCTCGTCCATGCCCTCGCCCGTGTACCAGTGCAGGAAGGCCTTGCGCCGGAACATGGCGGTGAACTGCTCCGAGATGCGTTTGAACAGCTCCTGGATGGCCGTGCTGTTGCCGATGAAGGTGGAGGACATCTTGAGCCCCCGGGGCGGGATGTCGCACACAGCCACCTTCACGTTGTTGGGGATCCATTCCACGAAGTAGCTGCTGTTCTTGCTCTGGATGGCCAGCATCTGCTCGTCCACCTCCTTCATGGACATGCGGCCGCGGAAGACGGTGGCCACGGTCAGGTAGCGGCCGTGGCGGGGGTCGCAGGCGGCCATCATGTTCTTGGCGTCGAACATCTGCTGGGTGAGCTCGGGCACCGTGAGCGCGCGGTACTGCTGGCTGCCGCGGGCAGTGAGCGGGGCGAAGCCGGGCATGAAGAAGTGCAGGCGGGGGAAGGGCACCATGTTCACGGCCAGCTTGCGCAGGTCGGCATTGAGCTGGCCAGGGAAGCGGAGGGAGGTGGTGACGCCGCTCATGGTGGCCGACACCAGGTGGTTGAGGTCGCCGTAGGTGGGCGTGGCCAGCTTGAGGGTGCGGAAGCAGATGTCATACAGGGCCTCGTTGTCGATGCAGTAGGTCTCGTCCGTGTTCTCCACCAGCTGGTGGATGGACAGAGTGGCGTTGTAGGGCTCCACCACCGTGTCCGACACCTTGGGCGAAGGCACCACGCTGAAGGTGTTCATGATGCGGTCCGGGTACTCCTCCCGCACCTTGCTGATGAGCAGCGTGCCCATGCCGGAGCCTGTACCCCCGCCCAGCGAGTGGGTCAGCTGGAAGCCCTGCAGGCAGTCGCAATTCTCACACTCCTTCCGCACCACGTCCAGGACGGAGTCCACCAGCTCGGCGCCCTCCGTGTAGTGCCCCTTGGCCCAGTTGTTGCCGGCTCCGCTCTGACCTGTGGGGGTCAGGGGGGTGGCAGGAGGGTGACACAGACTAGTTAGACCTACAGCGGCCAACTGAGCAGCCCATCCCAGAGAGCAACCATGGAATCTCTGTGTCTGCTTCCTGTCTGGAAAGTGGGGGTGCCCGCATCGCCTCACTCCCTCCATGGCCCTCCACGCCCACCATGATGTGTGTTGGGGACCCCACTGCCTGGTGCCCTAAGGTACCAGGGCTCTAGACAGGAATTGAGAAGCTGGAGGGGCACCTCCTGCTTTGCCTCCCTGGGGGGGAGGTTCTGGGTGAGTCGTTCAGTCCTCCCCTCCAGCCTCTGGTTGGCCATGCTGGAAGCATCAGCTAGAGCCCCCAAAACCCCAGAATCCCTTGCAGCGTGGGGTCTAATGTGGATTGGTGCCCATCAATTGGGGTGCCAAGCTTCAGAAGACAGAACTGGGGTGAGGCCCTCCTGATCACAGCAATGCTTCATGCCTGTGAACTTGAGCCCTCTGGACCCCGATGCCCGTCTGCCAGCTCTGTGATGGTCCTATAAACTTAGCTCTCTGTCTCACCCATCATTCTGCTTGAAACACCAAATGGTTTCTATTCCCCACGCAGAGCCCTTTCTCTGTGCCACTCCAAATGCAAAATGGGAAGGTCAGTTCTGTCCTGTTCAGGGGTGACTCTGCCCTGTTGTTTCTGCTGATCTTATTTGCCTGTGATGCTTTATTGGTCTGCATCAGAGTGTGAGACAAGGGAAACTTACCGAAGATGAAGTTGTCAGGCCTGAAAAGGTGTCCAAAGGCACCAGACCGGACGCTGTCCATGGTTCCGGGCTCAAGGTCCACTAGAATGGCCCGAGGCACATACTTATGAGCTGAGGAGAAAGGGGTGGGTTATGTGGGTCACAGAGGGTCAGGGGCTCCTCCTGACCTCTAAATCCTGCCCTGGCCTGCCAGAGTCAGGCTGTCACCATAGGTGCTCAGACTCCGGGGTCAGAGAGGCTGGAACCATGTGTGAAGTTGGGATCTTGGTCAACCCCCAGCCATCCAGGACTGCGAACTACACTGACAGGGGCAGGTTAATATTTCTCCAGTTCACTATGGACATCATCTTATGCCAGCAGCCAAGTGGCCCCTGCTGGACCCTCCCATGGACTTCTGAGGAGCCTCCAGGACCCTGCCCAGCCCTGTCCGTCCCCGAGACTATGCAAGTGTCAAGGGAGGATCCCAGATATTTGAATCTCACTACGGTGGCAGTTTCTAGGGCTCCCCATATTTGTTTTGTGAGTCTCGGGTCATACCTGCCGAACCACTGATAGGAGGGCAGAGATGCTGAGACCCGCAGTCCCAGCGCCCTCCCCCCACCCTCCCAGACCAAGCGCAGGGACGGGGGGGGGGGGGGGGGGGGGCGGCTCACAAGAGGCCTCGTTGTAGTAGACGCTGATGCGCTCCAGCTGGAGGTCCGAGTCCCCCACATAGTTGCCGCTGGGGTCTATCCCGTGCTCGTCACTGATGACCTCCCAGAACTGCAGGGGGGAGAGGAAGGGTCGGCAGGTGCTTATGAACCCCACCAGGCCCTTTCCCGGCCAGGGCCTCAGCCATGTCTGTTAAATTAGGGGCCTGGACTCAAATCTTGCACTAGCCCCTTTGAGTGACTTCAGACCTAGGCCCCCCAGACTCAGCTCTGCACTCACTACCCAGAAGCCCTGCTCAGTCCATTCCTCCATGAGGCGTTAGTAGTCAACAACCTCTAGGGGTGGTTTTCTTTATTCTCTCTTCTCAGACAAAGGAACCACGGCACAGAGAAGGCAAAGAGCAGCCTATAGTAAGTGACAGAGACGAGACAGAGTCTGGGATACACGTGCCCCTTAGTGTCAGGGCAAAGGATGCTCAGAGACAGGGTCTGGCACATCATCAGCCTCAGCCAACGGGAACCACAGGGGCCCTGAATGGGGAATGACTTGCCTGGTTCTCCCAGCCTGTCTGTGAAGAGCTGGCCCAGCCCAAGCTCCCAGGGTTCACTCTGGCCACTGCCTGCTGCCACTCACCCTCTCCCCCTTGAGCTGGAACCCATAGTGCTTCTCAAAATCTGCTCCCAGGGCACAAAAGCACAGAGCAGGGCCCACATTCAGGAGCTGTGCCACCTTTTCCCAGCCATGTGACCCTTTGCAGGTCCTTTAGACTCTCTGTGCCTCAGGGTCCTCATCTGTTCATAGGCCTGATGGGGAAAATGGTCTTTGTGGGAACAAAGCCAGTAAATCGTGCAAAGCATGTGAATGGGCTCATATATGTCAGCACACAAAGCCACATCCCCTGGGTGAAGGGAAGGCTGCACAGAGCTTGGCCCTCACCCCAAGGACATTTCCAAGCCATGTGGAACACAGTGGGCCCATGCAGAGAGGGTCATTAGTCATACACAGTGTGACTTCCCAGGGCCCCTCCCCTTTGCTCCTCAGGGTTGGAGTGACTTTCAGAAGATGAATGGTATGAAGGCCTGGAGAAGTAACAGACCCTTACACGGGAGTCATGTGCCCATAAAAGACAGCTCAGTGAGAAATGCAGTTAGAACCCAGTCTGCACATGTTTATCTCTATATAGATGTCTAACAGGCCCAGAGGTATCTGCTCCAGGGAACTGGGCCTGGGAATGTGGGTCTGGGTTAGGGAAAATTCTTCTGACTATATATCCTTTGGCTCTTTTGGAATTGTCCCATGTTAGTTTCTAAACAACAAAAGATTAGTTAGAAAATATATATATTTTTTAAAAATTTTATGTATTTATTTGGCAGACAGAGATCACAAGTAGGCAGAGAGACAGGCAGAGAGAGAGAGAGAGGAGGAAGCAGGCTCCCTGCCGAGCAAAGAGCCCGATGTGGGGCTCGATCCCAGAACTCTGGGATCATGACCTGAGCCGAAGGCAGAGGCTTTAACCCACTGAGCCACCCAGGTGCCCCGGAAAATATTTTTTAAAACTCTGATAATTAGGGACGCCTGGGTGATTCAGTCATTTAAGTGTCTGCCTTCGGCTCCAGTCCTGATCCCAGGGTCCTGGGATTGAGCCCTCGTTGGGCTCCCTGCTCATTGGGGAGTCTGCTTCTCTCTCTGTCTCTGAACTTTCCGCCTGCTAGTGCTCTCTTTCGCTCTCTCTCTTTCAAATGAATAAATAAGAAATTTTTTTAAATAAATAAATTATTAAATTCTGATAATCACAGACAGTGTTACCATTATTATAAAACATGCAGGAAAGTCTTGGTGTTCATCCAGAGAGTCTGTTACCAGAGGTTGTCCCTCAGTGAGGGGAGGGCTGGATTTACGCCCCATTTTGTCATCGTTAACTGTTCTTTTTACATTGTGTGTGTTAATGTTGTAATTAGAGGGGCACCTGGGTGGCTCAGTGGGTTAAGGCCTCTGCCTTCAGCTCAGGTCATGATCCCAGGGTTCTGGGATGAAGCCCCACATCAGGCTCTCTGCTCAGCAGGGGCCTGTCCCCCCCACCCCACCCCCCCGGCCTGCCTCTCTGCCTACTTGTGATCTCTGTCTGTCAAATAAATAAATAAAATCTTAAAAAATTTTTTTTTTAATTTTGTAATTAGGAAAAAAAAAAAAACCACACACACAAAAATGTCACTGAGGCCTTTGGGGCCTGATCCGAGCTGCTGACCACTGTGTGGATCTCCTTGGCCCCCCTCAGCCCGAGGCCTGCATGAAGGCAGGAGCCAGAGCCTTGGTCCCCAGAGCTCTGAGACACCCCAGACTTCTGGTTTCAGGGACACCACAGCCCCTGCAGAGGACCGGGAGGGAGACAGCTGGGCATCGTCCCGCCAATACATCTGCAGAGAGTTATCAGAAATGCATCTCTGTAAATCATGGTCTTCCAGGAGGTGATGGGCCAGAACCCAGCACCGTCAGGGTGGACCACTGGCTCCCTCTCCTGGGACCTCAGTTTTCCCATTTGTAAAGTGGACATAATAATAGTACCCACATTAAGGGGTCAGCACAAGGCCTGATGCATTCAGCAAATGGTGGCTTCATTGAGTTAGAAGGTTAGATGCTATTTAAATCTGTAACGCCATATGCACAGATAGCAAATAAAAATGAAAGTTTTAAAAAGCCAATATACTGGGGTGCCTGGGTGGCTCAGCGTGTTAAATTTCTGCCCTCAGCTCAGGTCATGCTCCCGGGGTGCTTGGATCGAGCCCCGCATCGGGCTCCCTGCTCGGCGGGGAGCCTGCTTCCTCCCCATCTCCCTCTGCCTGCCTCTCTGCCTATTTGGTGATCTCTGTCTGTCAAATAAATAAATAAAATCTTTTAAAAAATAAAATAAAAATAAAAAGCCAATATACTAAAAAAAAATCAATATATTTTGGGACACTGTGGTGCAGTAAAATATCATCACTGATGGGAACACATCTCCGAGACACACCCTTAAGGGAAAGGCACATTGCATAATGATAAAGTAAAAAAGGGGCTCTCAAAAAGATGCTGTTTTTCTACAAAGATATACATAAGTGCACATGCACAGAAAACAGGCTGGAAGAATGGGAAACAAAATTGTCCCCCCAGGAGAGCAGGACCTGGGGGCATGAGGTGGCTAAATGGGCACTTTGGCTTTATCTGCAATGTTTCAACTTTTTAGAAGAATATATTGTTTTTGAGGTTAAAACTAACAAAAATGTGATTTAAAATAAGTATCGTATTAGTAAAAATATTATGTAATATTTAATCAATAACAAAATACAATATTGTAAATTAAGTAAGAAATAATCATGACCACAGTTGAGAAAACTGCCACATGGCGCGGGGACCTGGGCTGCTAGGTGAAACGCCCGTCGCGCCGCGCCCTTGGCGCTGTCCGTGGTGCTGATCCTTTGCCGCGTCCTCGCTCTGGGACCGGGGAGGCGTCGGCCAGGGCAAGCGGGGGGCAGCGGCTCCGCGGAGGGAGGGCTTGCAGATTCTCCGGCAGGCGTCAGACCCTTCCAAGATCTCAAAGCCTCTCCTGGGCCGGAGCACCGCGAGCGCTAACACTGACCCATTTAGGAGGCCGGTTCAAGGAAACCAGGAAATCCCTCCCCCTATTGGCGGTCAGAGCCAGGGCCCGCCCTTCCGAGGCTCCGCCCAGCGGCCGAGAAAAGGGGGCCCAGACAAAGGCTCCCGGATGGCTCTGCACCCCAGAGAAGGATGAGGTCCCGGGATTCATCCGCCTGTGGTGTGGCGGCGGTGTGGGTGTTGGGGGGGAGTCCCCGCCCATCCTAATGGATCCGCGCAGACCTAGAGTCCAGCCCTGCCCTATCCCTCCTGGGCGGTGCCTCAGCTTCCGGGAGCAACCCATGGGGGAAGGGCGGTCCCCTATGTCACCGGATCTCAGTGAGGTGATGGGTCTGAACACCAGGCACCGTGCTCAATACTCAGAGGTCCATTGTCACGAGCGTAATGCCGGCAAGCTACCGCTCAGGAGAGGTGACCTCTCGCCTGGCCCCAGTCGTCCTGACCTCTCTCTATCCCCCACAGCCAGGCCCCTCCCTAGAGCAGGGGCTGGGCTGGGCCAGGCTCGCAGCGGCCCCAGCCCACCCATCAGCTGCAGCTGGTGCTGAGAAGGAAAAGTTTGCCCGCTCCCCTCACCAGGGAGCCCACAGCCACGATGGGATCAGAAAACAGAAATGGTCAATGAACAACCTGTCCACAGGGCAGATGGCAGCATCTGCTGGGCCCGCAAGTTACCTACATGGGGCCTGGCACAGGGGCTTGGAGAACTTTTTGAGTTTGGTCTCTGGAGACTTCAAAGGACAAGGAGGACAGAAGGAAACAGCTCAACTGCTGTCACTGGTCACCAAAAAAGGCAGTGGTGAAAAGAAAGAAACAATTCCTCTCCCCACAAAATCCACCTCTCTCTGGTTTGAATTGTTAGAAAGGACCAGATACTAATTTTTAAAACAACATAAAGTAAGAAAATCAACCCAAAAAGAATAAAAAATGATGAGCAAACCCAGGAGGCCACACCTCTAAGAAGTAGGAAAAAATCTCAGCCAAGGACACTTGTCCAGCACTCAGGCTACTGACTGCCCTCCTCCCTCCCCTTCTGCCACCCCCTGTGCCCTCCCCCCACCCCAGTTACAGCTCCAGGTGTGGACTTGCCTTTGGTTGGTGTGCATCTGTCCCAGCCATACAGAGGAAGGGTGTATAACCAGATCACCACTCCCCCAGGCTCAGGCAGAACTCAGGGATGCCCGCCCTCCCCCCAGTGACCCCTGGCCCTCCAAGGAGCAGATGTTCAGGGCAGGCCTGGCCCCTGTGGCCACATTAATGAGCCCTCCGCCCCTCCCACCTGGCTAGGGCAGCTGTCAGTGACTGCCCCAGGAGTCCCGATTTGATTTGAGACCACCATCCCCCAGGCTTCCCCTCTCCCAGCCCCCTTCCTGGAGGCAGGCACAGCTGTTTCTTCGGGGGATTAGGGAGTCTCCTCGGTGCCCCCCCCCTCCACCCCATCCAAGTGGCCTCCACCCTACACAAGAAGTTGCAATTTACATGTCAGCCACGAGGCTGCCCCATCCCGGTTGTAATTAGCTTTTTGTTCTTTCCTGGTTTCCATAGCAACAGCCTCCAGAGGAGCCCCTTCCGAGGCCCCTTCCCCTTCAAGTCCTGGCTCCTCCCACTGCCTCCTTTGGGAAACCCGCCCTGCACCACTCCCACCCTGCGTCCCTGGCCTTGGTCCTGACAAAGACACCCCCATTCCCCTGTTTTGTTCTGCGGGGTGCCCCGTGGGCAGCAGGCCCCACCCACCTAGCCTGAGCCCAGGGCTGGATGTCTGACGGTGGCGTGGCTCTCTCTCGCACTGGCTGTGTGACCTTGGGCAAGGGACAGTCTGCCTGAATTTGGGGACGTGACACCTGTCTCCTAGGTTCCAGTGAGGATTGTACCACCTCCTCTTCCCACATCTGCGAGGTGGACTAACAATGGAGGGGAGGAGCCCGGTGGTGATGCCGCTGTCCATCCCAGGAGCCGGGCTTTGTTCCTACGTCCCACCCCCAGACTCCACAGTCCCTGGGCGGGTGCTGTCCAAACCCGGCGGAGGTCTTTGCCCAGGCTTGGCTGAGCTGAGGGAGAGTCCACTTCTGGACCAAGGTCACCCCGAGTCTGGCCCCAACCCCTCCTCCAACAAAGGAATAGGGTGGGGTCAGGAAGCTGAGGAGGGGGACAGCGAGGGTGGGGGCATGGGGACGGCTTTGGCCGCTTGGAGGACATCCTGTTCCTGGGGAGAGCAGGAGCACGGCAGACAGAATCATTTTTCGGCTTTGAAGGGGACGTCCCACCCAAACATGCCCACCCCACCCATCTCGCTCAAGGCTGAATTGCGACCCCAAAGAAAGGGGCCACGCCCAGGCCGTCCCCGCAGCGGCAGCCGCTGTGGATGGAGCTCAGCCGCAGACGTGCGCTGCGCTCCCGCAGGCCTGAGATAACCCGGGCAGGGCCAGAAAGAAGACTGTGTGGACGTGGCAGGGCAGGGATCCCGGCGCCCCGGCCGCCGGGCCCGACTCGTCCCTTTGTTCCTGGCTTCGCAGTCGCAAGCGCCGCTTGGGGTGCGGCTCCTCCCTGCTTCCCTCCCTCGGGGGCCCCGGCTCTGGGTGGGAAGGCGGGCTGCGCGCCGGGGTCCGGGCCGGGAGTCTGGGGCTGGGGCCGGGGGGTGCGGGGGCGGCGCGCGTCCTCACCTTGGCCCCGATCTGGTTGCCGCACTGGCCGGCCTGGATGTGCACGATCTCCCTCATGCTCGGTGCGTGTGGCGGGCGGCTGCGGGACACGCGCGGACGGGCCGGGGCTGGCTGCGGAGGGTCAGCCGCCCCCGCCGCCCGCTCTTATAGGCTGGGCCCCGCCCGCAGCGCCAGCCTGGCGTCACCGCGCGCGGCCAATCGGGGGACGCCGCCGCAGAATGCCGCACGGGCCCTGCAGCATCAGCACCGCGCATCCCGGTTCGGCTCGGCCGCGCGCTGCGGCGCTCCGCCCGCCGTCTCCGCCCGCCGCCACCGGGGTCTGGGGGCCAGCGGGGGGCGGGGGTGGGAGTCCGGGGGCCCCCCGCACACTGAAGGGAGGGGCTGGCGGGCTCCAGGGAGGACAATAGAAGCCCCTCTTGGCTCTCGGACCCCGCCCAGGCTGCCCTCTCGGGTCCTACCGCTGCGGCAGCCACAACCCACGGCTTTGCAAAGACGGTCTTTCTTCCCCACACCCGTCCAGGGACCAACCCCAGGTTCCCACCCCAAAGAGCGAGAAGGACGCCTCCCGGCTCCCTGTCTTGTGGTATGAAGGGACAAACAAGGTACTTTGAGCTCTGCTGGACCCCTTAGGGGTGGGGGAGCCAGGAAAAGGCTGCAGCAGGCGCTGAACCCTCCAGAAGAAAGCATGGGGCAGGGCTCAGAAACGCCGTGTCAGAAGGACGGTGGGTTACAATGGCGGCTCTGAGCTTCGAGGCCCTTCTCTGCAGTGGGGAATGCCACCTGCCCCTCCCCTCTCAGGGATCTGCCATGAGATTGCAAATGGACCTGGTCCGTGGGGCTGCTTTGTGCCCCTGCTAGGCACAGTGCCTGGTATGGAGCTGCTGCTCAGTGAGTACTGCTGTCAGGAATTATCCAAAGGACACCAGCCAGGCAAGGGACTGACAGGGTGGGGAATGGTGGGTAGTGATTTCTGTCTGATTCATGCCCTGGTGTCACCTGGACTCCTGGACTCTTGGTCCAAGGGAGGCCAACACAACAGGGTGACAGAGGCTAAGTAGTGAGACAGTGTGCATAAGGCGAGATGGGGGATTCCTGGGACGGGGGGCAGGGAGAGAAGGGCCCACTGGTCAGAAGAGAAAGGAGGGTATGAACTAGACTCACAGTACAGACATTACCTTACACATGCACCACACCGCTGGCTTAATATTCTACCGGGGTCAGACGTTGTAGTGAAACCACCTTATAATAAGGTCCTTCTGATATTTTAGTATCAGAACCTTCCAGGAAGGGTCGGGTCGCAGCGCATGGAGGTCCCACAAGCGGTCAGCTGGACAGGCCTGTGGTGTGCCTGTGTCTAGACTGCGCTCAGGAGTGCATTGACAGGGTGTGGCTGTGCATAAGCCCCTTTCCCCCCCACCCTGAGCTCTCCAGTTCGACTAGTCTAGAAATGGGTCTTTTGTTCTCAAGAGACACCCCTCCCCCACAACGTGTCCATGATGCAGCTTTCTGTGGTTGGCTTCCGGCTGCCTGGGGCCCCTCCCTGTCCCCCGCTCAGGGGTCCTTGGTAAGCATTTGGCTCTTCCCCGAAACTGGCTGCGCCTCCCCATCCAAGCAAAGGAAGAACCTTTGCAGCACCCTGTTGGCCAAGCCCCATTACCCACAGGCCCCATCTGCGTGATGGCGTCGGGCCAGGCCACCTCTCTCTCCATCCCCAGAGGACTCTGGTGCCAGGTTCAAGGCTGACTCACTATCTTGTCTCCCAGCAAAGGCTGGCCCTGCCGGGAACCAGCGCCTGGCCTCAAGGCCAGCAGCTTGGGCTGAAGCTACCAGCAGGGTGGGGCCTGGCTGGGGCAGAGTGAGGGTGGCTGCCCGTGGCTGCCGAAGGCTTGAGGCATTACCAGCCCTGCCTTCAAATTGGCTGATGCCATCACCCTCGCCACCGCCGAACCTGCATCAGGAAGGGGGTCAGCTGTAGGCTCAGCACCTGTGGAGGAAACCAGGTGGGCTCCCCAGTGAGAATCCCAGGTTCGCAACAGGGAGGACCGAGGGTTGCCAATACCAGTACTCGCCCCAGATGGCCGTTCCCTTCGGGACTCGGACTCGGACAGTCCCTGGACAGCCTCACCCCACTCTGGGAGGCCTTGCTTCAAATACTTCCCCAGGGGCTATCCGGGGGGAGAGTAGACCCCAACTCCCAGCACACTCTAAACTGTGGGCAGACATGGAGGAGGGGCGGCAGGACTGGGTGTGAGAGGGGTGAGCTCAGGTTGAGGTCACACATGGGTTACGGTGGTCGTGCTCCTGCTGCAACTGAGAGCAGCCTGGACGGTCCCGGTGCTGAGTCGGGTCCCCATGGAGGTGACTGGGCCAGGGCAGCTGCTGTTTCTCACTGTAGTTGCCATGAGCTGGGGTTTCCACCATGGAGAGAAAGCTGAGACCCAGGCCCAGGGTGGGTGTGATTGGGGCCCCCACACTCTCCCCTTGGTTAGGCCTCAAGCACCCTTGGTCCTTGGGGGCTGTGGCCTCTTCACCTGGGCAGGCCTGCCATGGTGTCTGGCTGGTTTCTGGGATTCACTTCTCCCTGACCGCCACCCTCAACCCCACCCCGCCTCTCCCCCTTCCTCCTCAATCCCACCTCAAGCACTTTCTGGAAAGAGGCAAGGCAGGGGGCCATGAGTCTGCACCAAGCACAGCATTTATTACCAGACTGCTTCCCTGAGACCCTACACACTGGTCTCTGACTCAGGCCGACAGCCTCTGCCCTGGCCAGAGCAGGTGTTGGCTGGCCCGGTCCACTGGGGACAGGCAGCAGACACGGATGGGCCCCCAGCTCTCTGGTCACCACTGAGCCTTAAATCAGCACCCCCTCCACTGTAGACACGGTCCCTCGGCCTCAAACAGGAGCTCCCTGCTTCCTGGAGCAGTCCTGTGTGGCCAGTTCTTGCTGGTCGGGAAGCCCCCCTTGTGGAGGCTCTCCCGGGGACGAGTGCTCGTCCAGCACCCACCACGGACGCTTCACGTCCCAGCAGGCAGGGGCAGCAGAGGTGAGTGTGCAGAGCTTGCCTGGTCCCTGGGTGGAGGTGGAGTACTCCCAGAGTCAGCAGAGACGCGTCCAGAAGCCAGAGATCCACCTCCGGTGCCTGCGGCCCCACCATGTCTCCAGCCTCCTCCACTGTCCACAGCCACTCCTGGAGCCTGGCGTGCCTTCCTTTCTCGGGCCCCAGAGCGTCCGTGCGGCCACACCCCTGGAGATCATCTCTTCTGCCCCTTCAGGCTCACACAGGCCATGGGACCTAGCCACTGCCCTCTGCCCAGCAGCGCGGCCAGCCCACAGCCTCACCAGGAGCACAGCACCATCTCCTGCAGTGTCTTTCGGAGCTCCTGACTGCGGAAGGCATAGATGAGGGGATCGACGATGGAGTTGCAGATGATGAGGGTGAGGAAGAGGTTGAAATTCTTGAAGACGCAGCCACAGATGGGGTGTTGAGGGCAGAGGACCATGAGCGAGAGGTGCAGGAAGAAGGGGCCCCAGCAGAGGAAGAAGATGCCCAGCAGGACAGTGAGCGTAGCGGTGCCCTTGAGGCTGAAGCCCTGGCGGGCAGGGCGCTGCCTCTTGTGCAGCTGAGCGATGCGGCGGGCGTGCTGGCAGGCCCGGGCTAGCATGTGCACATACAGCCCCACCATGAGCACCAGCATGGCCACGAAGAAGCTGACGAGGCAAAGCAGCACAGCCACGTGGTTGTCGTAGGCGATGAAGAGCGCGCCAGAGAGGACGCTGGCCAGCCAGATGGCGGAGATGGCGCGCCAGGCGCGGGCCAGCGTGACGATGCTGTGGTAGCGTAGTGCGTAGAAGATGGAGATGTAGCGGTCCACAGCGATGGCGCCCAGGAAGCAGAGGCTGGACACCATGGCGCCGCACACAAGCATGTCAATGGCGTCGTCCAGCTGCTGCACCACGGTGGCCCGGGCGGCCAGGGCGCCCGCCTCCAGCAGCAGCGGCACGGCCATCTCCAGCACGTTGCTCACGCTCACCAGCAGGTCGGACATGGCCAGGCAGCAGATGAAGTAATACATGGGCGAGTGTAGGTTGCGGTTCTTGGCGATGGTGGCCACCACCAGCACGTTCTCCAGCACACTCACCAGCCCCAGGCTGAGGAAGAGCCCGTCGGGAACGGACACCTCCAGGCACTGGGGCCCCGTCTGGTTGGTAGGCGGCCTGAGCGGAGGGGTGGCTGGGGGTATGGAGTTAAGGGAGCCTAGCAGCCTCCTCTGGGGGCCCTGCACAGACATAGTCCCACTGGGGAGGAGAAAGGGGTCCTCACTCACAGGCGTCCCGCTCAGCTCATCGCCGCACCAGCAGGCGCTCGTGTCCTCCCAGACCGCCCTCACACTCGCCCTCTCCCTGTCTGTACCCACGTCCACTCGGCCATGACCCCGCTGAAGAGACCCCAGCTTCCCACCAGAGTGGTCGCTTCCCAGCCAGGACCCCAAGCCCTCAGAGACCCAGCTTCTAGTCTCTCTGAACTCCAGACCCTCAGCCCCCCTCCCTACCTCCTCTGTGGAGGTACCGTTCCTCAGGTCCAGACATACGTTTCTGGGCGGCTTGCTGTCTTACGGCTGGCCAGGCCTCCTGCTCCTCCAGGCCTGGGGTGGGCTGAGGTCCCAGAAAGAATGAACCCTTTCTGCACATCTTTCAAGTCCCTGGAGCCCCTCCCCCTGAGGGTGGCCACATGACGGGCGTGCACCCTGGACGCACGGCCGGAGAGCACCCACACTCAGCAGCCCCGCAGCACCAGTGGCAGCCAGGCGGCACCAAAGACTGGGGCTCTGGGGGACGTCTCCCGCTCACCTGTGCTCCGCCCACTGGTACTCCCAGCCCTGTGCCACTCCCAGGGGCCTCCTCTACATCTGCTCAAGGTCCCCTGCAAACTCCACCATCTCCTGGAGCCATCTCTGATCTCTGGCCACCCACCCAATGCCAGCGTACCTTGGGAACAGTCATCGGCTGTCGACCACCCCCCCCCCCCCCCCGCCTGAAGCCCTAACTCCCTACCCCATGTGAGATGCTTCCTCAGGGCAGCCCCTACCCCCTAGGACTCCCACCCAGTCCCTGGAGCCCTGAGGGAGGCTCTTGCTCTTCCTCCTCCCACGGGGGAGGGGCAGGGACAGAGCTGCCAGCCCCAGTGACCAACAGCCCCCACTTCCTCTGCAGAGAAACCACTTCAAAGGCAGCCATGGGGTGCACAGCCCAGAGGGCCTGTGGGCACCTGCTCTGGCCTCGCTCCAGGGCGCTCCTAGCACTTTCTCACTGCAGACTGGAGTTCCTCCTCTGAAGAGCAGAAGTGGGAGGGGGAACCAGACGGTTTGTGGAAGGGGGAAACCACTTGAGGCAACAAGGAAGGAGGTCAGGGCTTGGCTGAGTGGTGATGGCAGGGCTGGGAGGGCATTCTCCCTGTGACATTCCTGTTCAAGCACACTACCCCCCCCCCGCCAGGGCCAGGCAGCCACTCACGAACATTAATCATCGCTTACATCTGCATCAGCCCACAGACAAAAAGCTGTCCCTCCCCTTGTGCTTCTCGCTGAAGAACATCACACATCGAAGTACATGAACTGTAAATATGCAGGTTCGTGGGTGCCCCAACCTAACCACGGCCAGGAAAGCAACACCCAGACCCACCCAGAAAACGTTAATTGCCCCCAAACAGCTTGGGGGTCCGCCTGCCCTGGGAGCCCCTCCGTGACATCCTCGTGGCTGTGTGGAGTGGTCTTTGGTGCACAGACCCCACTGGGCGTCTTCTGTCTGTTCTGGTCCCATCTTTGGTGGACACAGGCCCCCCACTTGCACAGGGCAGCATGTAGGAATGTGGACCTGCTGGCCTGTTGCTGGCAGAGCATGAGGACCCCAGCCCGTCTCCCCACGGAGAACAGAAGACAGCCCCACACCCCACAGGCAGCAGGCACAGGATGGGCCCTACACACCAAGCTCCTTGCCCTCTGTGGACTTCACCCCTCCCATTCTCTCCTCCTGATGGAGAACCCCAAAGGGAGCAGAGGTTCCCAGGACCACGGGTGGGGGGGGGTGCCAGTCAGGGGCGGTGGTCCCAGCAGCAGTGAGGGGCTGTGTAGGCACTACTGCCATGAAGTCCAGCTGGGTCCCTGCCACATGGGTCCCAGGATTCACACCACAGCTGTCCATCACCAAGGCCCACCTTCCTGACCACCTTCCACCTCTGGGGGCAGTCTGCCAGGGCCCCCCCGATTCTGTGTCCGCACACTGCCAGGATGCGGTATCTTCAGCTCCATAAATGAGGCCTTTGAGATGGACATGCTTCCCCCACCCCTAGCCCCTGCCAGAGACTTCAAAGAGCCTGAGAACTGGACAGCCTCTGGCCAGCAACCAGTCTTCCTGCTGAGGCCTCGAGACTCCCCATCTGGTTCTGATGTGCCCGATGGGGACTTCACGGGAGGGAGACTCTCAACTTTGTGATTAGTTACGGTTATGAGGGAAATGTCTGCATGAAATCCCAGATAATCTTAAGGCCAATGATAACTTGATCTCTCATGCCCCTGGGAGGTAAGGACTGGCCACAACTGTCCAAGCAGAGACCCAGGAGCGCCAAGGACAATGCCTGGCACACACCAGGCCCGCACAATGCAAGCTCTCAATGCGTAAACGAGCTTCATGGGGCAGCTGGAGGCCGGTGAGAGAGCAGCGTCTAGCCATGGCCACACCAGCGGGTGGTTAGTGCCTGACCAGAGAGCCCAGGCCCTGCTTCCTTCACGGAGCTCCCTGAGGGCCAGCCAGCAGACAGAGTCCCAGGAGCAACCACACGGCTCCTCCTGGCTCTTGGCAGGATGCGGTCTCAATAAGGCCTGGCCCAGAGCTGGGTCACAGGGGCTGCTCTGAACTCGGGGAGGGCAACACCCTGTGTGCTCACCCTGTGGCGTCTGCGCTAAAGACCCTGGGGTAGGGTCTGACTTCACGGGAGAGAGCATAACCCGTCAGCACTCTGTCCACGGGCAGCAGGCCTGGGAGGAGCCCATTCACCCCTGCCTGGACCCTGGGGGGCCGGGCAAGCCTTTAGAGCAGATGCTCCCAGGCGAGAGCGCTGGCTGTCTGGCCATCTCCACGGAAACGGGCTGCAAGGAATGACCCAACCCTGAGCGGTCTGGCTGAGCACTGATGACATGATCACTGCTCGGGGCGGCGAGCCGCGAAGCAGGCAGTCACCACGGCCTGGCCCAGCGCTCTCTGCTGTCCTCTCTCTAGGACACTGGCTCTGCCCTGAAGGTCACCAACTCCCAGTCGTAAAAGGGCTGCTGCGACTCCGGACATACGCCCCCACGCGGGCGTACTTAAGGAGAGGCCGGGTGTCGAGCTCACCTTGCTTGCCTGCGTCCATCAGAGGACAGACCCCTTCCTGGAGGAGCCCAGCAGACCCTCGTCCTCCTGGCTGAAGCTTACCGCAGGGCACCCTCGTGGGACAAATGTGGATCTAGGACAGCCTGGGATTATGTCAGTCCTCCTCGATCCCACTCACCAAATCCAGGTACAGAGACAAGGACTAAAGTCTGGGTAGTAACTGACAGACACCAGCATGGGTGCAGGGCACCGTCCTTGTCCTTGTCACAGGTGTTCACAGCAGAGACTTTCATTGCTGAGCCCCAATCGTAGGGAGTCTCCAGCTGGGAACTTCTGACAGGACAAGCTCACAAAACACAAACCACCTCTCCGCCACCGCCACCAGCTCACTGCACAACCATGTCTACAGCACTGGGGGGACTTCCCGGCAGGCTCAGCCCACACGGATCCTGGCCCAGAACAGGTGAGCAGCACACCCGATGGGGTGGAGGTCAGGGCCAGGAGGGTGCCCGGTAGACTGGCAGCTCACGACCTCGGTGTCCTTGACCCTTCCACGACCCATCTGGCTCCTGAGCTCCAAGCAGCTCTGTGTGGTGCTGAGTGGCAGGCGGGCGAGGACTTGCCCCAGGTGATGACCCCTCCCCTCCCCCCCCCACCAGAGGCCCCTAATCCCTGCCATGTACAATCTCCAGAGCCACCAGGACATCCTTCCCAAGGTCCACCTCTCAGCCTCCCTCCAGCCCAGGGCTGCCCTGAAGTTCCCCAATAAAGCCACGGTGACTCTGCCTCAGTGGTGCCCAGCCCTAGGGCTCCGCTGTCAGCCTCTCCAGCCTCTGGCCAGCCTGTCCAGGCTCCCGAGCGAAGCAAACATCTTGGTGTTCTCAGCTGGGATGTCGCAGTGGAAACCTGTGGGACCTTCTCCACGCTGTGGCTGGCCCAGACTGTGAGGGCAGGGCTGCCACGGAGAGAGCTCATATGGGGCTGGGGCCTGGCTGCAGTGACCCTGGGTCATGTTCTCTGCTGGGACACCTTGAGGGCTGGGCGGACCCAAGACCCATCTGCCTCACACTGGGCCCAGAGTCCAGCCCCAGGAAAGAAGAGCCCGTGCTGTGGGAGCGCGACCCATTCACATTTATAGACGACACAGGAGGCAGGCGGACGACACATCAGCATCTCTACTCCAAGGAACTGGCCAATTCCGACCAGAACAGCAATCAGGAACATAATTGTACAGCGTTGGGGCACGGCATCTCTGCGGGCTCAGTCCCACTCCCCGTCCCCCTCGGGGTTGTCCTCACGAGCTGCCTCCACGTCGTGGAAGTGGAAGTTGGCCATCATGTCTCGCACGGCCAGCATCAGCCTGTTCAAGCCTTGGTTGTGGTTTGGACCCCCAGCCCCTCCGTCCTCCAGCCGCTCCCCCTGCAGCAGTGAGACTCGTCTGAGCTGGGGGGGGCTGTCCTGGGTCCTGAGGCCCAGTGCTCCCACCCCAGCTCCCCCAGGACGCTGTCGGGAAGAGGAAGCTTCAAACCCAAACTCAAGGCCAGGCCCCAGTGCGAGGTCCAGGAGCCATGCCTGGGGGAGGGGCTGAGGTGGCCACAGCGGTTTCAGGCAGGCTTGTCCCGGCCTCCTGAGCGGGCTGCAGGTGCCCGCGGCCCAGCCTGAACCCACGTGGCAGAGAGAGGCCAAAACGTGCTCACATACCTCCATGGTGTAATTAGGCAACAAAGACCGGAAGAAGAGGGCGATAGTGTTTCCATGGCTGACAGGACTCAGCCTGAAAGAGGAGGAAGGTCGGTCAGATGGTGCAGCTGTGTGCCCCGCCCTGGGGCTGGGGGCGGGGTGCACCAAGGCAGCCAGCACAGCAGCTGGGGCACAAGCTCAGGCCTCCCAGGGAAGGTCACCCAGAGGGGGCGAGCCCTTGGGGACCTGGCTAGCTAGCTCAGCAGAGAGCAGAGGGTCACCCGCCACGGCTCAGTGGCTCGTTTTTGAGAAAAGCCATGCAAGGGCTACAAAGTGGTTACGGGAGGAGAAGGTTCCAGAATGTGCTGGGGAGTGCCCTCCTGGTAAGACATGGTGCTGGAGCCCAGCTCCACTGGCCATTTGAGGACTGGTGGCCTCGGACTGGCACAGCCCTTCAACCACTCCTCAGGGCTACACCGTCCAGCAAGGCAGCTCTCTGAACCCACCGATATTAAAAATGTTTGTCACCTTGATCGATCTAAGAATTAAAGTGGGCACTCTTTCCCTAGAAGCATGCAGTCCAACTTTTAGAACCTAATTTAGTTAAGAAAAAGCTTTTTATTCTACATAACGTGCTCAACTGAAGCCTGGAGAGGGCACGCGTTCTGGAATGGGAAAGCCTGCCTGGGACTTCCAGAGCTACAGGCTGTGCTGACAGCCTGTGGTAAGGCCACCACTCAGCCTGGAAGGCCACAAGGAAAGCAGAAGGCAGCTTTCCCATGATCCAAGGCGAAGCGCCGTCCCGCTCCACTGCGGCTCTCCTGGGCTGGGCCACACGGGCCCTTCTCAGTTCGCAGGGCCCCAGGCACCGGCAGACTCGGGCTGTGGCTTTGATATTACACTGCTTGCTAGGTTCCGCACGTAACACGGCTCCATGGCGCCGCATAGGCCACAAGGGCGCAGCCAGTACGTTTCTCCAGCTTCCCACTGTTACGTCTGACACCTGCTCTAGAACCCCATGGGAAAATGCTCCTTCATCAGACAAGCAAGTGAAAGGACACGGCTGGCAAAAGCGGACCTACAACCCCGCATCACCCTGTCCTCGGGGGCCTGGGTCTGAGGGGCAGGGAGCCCCAGGGAGCCGAAAGCACTGACCTCAGAGCTACACAAGCAAAGGAGCAAAGCAGGAGGCGGAGAGGTACCTCTCGGGTCTGACGTAGGAGTAGATCGTGTCCAAAGGAGGCAGAGGGTCGAAGCCCATCACAGACTGCGTGGTCACATCCTTCAGAAAGGGAAGCAGACCCACGGTGAAGCCTGGCCGTGCCCCCAATAGACTTCCAGCTGGTTCCAGCCTGGACCAGCCTCTCCACGAGGAATCCGTCAGCCGCACAGAATCGGTCGGTGGCTGCGCGGCTGCGTCTGCTGGACGCCGGGTGAAGGGTGGGGACGGCCTTGCTTCACCCAGACAGGCACTCTGCCCCACTCAGATGGCCAAGGATGCCTGTTGGCCAAAGGGCCCGCGCAGCAGGGGTGGAGCAGAAAGCCACGCTCCCTGTGCCAGGATCTCTCACCAGAGCGCCCCAGGGCCCCCGTTCTGAGCCCTGGGAGGTCAGCCGGCCAGGAGCAGCCCCCCTCTCAAAACCCCAGCTGTGAGGGAAGGGGCCCGCAGGCGACAAAGCCCCCATTTCCAGGCCCTCTCGCTTACCGGGGGGAGGGCAGCAACGGCCTCCTTGACCTCGGACAGGACCACATGCCGGTGGATGTTCCTGGGCGCCCGCTGGTAGAGCACCTTCCGCCTGAGGCCCGGGGGGAAGAGGCGTAGGCATGTGGCACGGAGCCTGCCCTGGCCCCACAGCCACCCTGTGACCACCACCCCGAGCACAGGGCTTTACCACCCACCAGGCCGGGTGCTGCCCTCACCCCCACCGGCCCCCAGCCCACCTGCTCTCACACGCTCCCACCGCAGGGTCCCCAGAGTCCACCGCCTGCAGAACCTCCCGGACGTTCTCCTCCAGCCAGCTCATGGTGGCAGGCTCCTTCCAGAGGAAGTGGGACCTTCCAAGGTATAGGCTCACCAGCTGGCTTAGGGCAGGGGGCTGGCTGTGGGAGACGGGGGCTCATGAGCTAGGCCCACCAGGGCATGGACTCCACACACCCACCAGCCCCTGGGGGGAAGCACAGGGGCCCGTCCAGCAGCCTGGGGGCGGAGCAGGTTGCCCAGAAGGGCTGCGGAGCTGGGATAGGCCGCTACCCAGCCGTGGGGATACACAGGCATCTGCTTCCACCAAGTGTGTACTTTTTACTAAGAACAAGGTCTTTAATAGAATTGCCAAACAGAAAGGGCATGTGTAGGTCTGCGCAGGCAGAGATGCTGGAGGAACTGTGCTGGTTTACTAACAGGGTCTGAGGATGGCCGGCTCCCACGGTGCATGTTTTCCTTTTTTTTTCATGAGGCATTTGGGAAAGACAGTTGGTGCACATACAGCTGTGTGACTACACTAACACCCGTAGGGTTACCCACCCCACCCAGCAGGGCTGGCGCATTGGGCCCCACACCCTGCCCACTTGTCAGCAGGCGGGCTCATGCTTGGGGCTGCATGTGGCCCACGTGCCGGCCGGCGTTGCGTCCAGCCCTCCACGGTGGGAGAACGGTCTGGCCGCCAAGGTCCCTGCAGTGAGCACCTGGCAGGACTCTCCCTGGGGCAGGAGAGAGCAGTGATGGCCGGCTTCACGAGCCTCCGGTCTGAGTGAAAACGGTCCCCGGGCTCTGCTCCCAGGGGCACCCCCACGACCCACCCGTGGGCAGGCACTGTCCTGTCTTTACCTGATCTCGGCCTCCGGGCCGAAGAAGTGATGCGTGGCGACAGCGGCATCGGGCCGCACACTGCAGTACTCGAGCAGAGGCAGGAGCACTGCAGGAGGAAGCGGGGCCCCAGGACATGTGACAAGGTGAGGCCGGTCCGCCCGTACCAGCCCCCGGGGGCCTCTGCCACCTCGGACAGGGTCTCCGCCCTGCTGCCTCCCGGGGGCCCCATGTGCATCTGAGGGCACCCCCACAAGGCGTCCCCACACGTTCCACCTGCGGGCTACTGGAGGGGCCAGCTCATGGGGTTCGGGCTTTGGGTGTAGACACCTGCGACAGCGCTCTCCCTCTGAGCACTGGAGGCCGAGTGGCCAGGGATTGGAAATAGGAGGGCAGCTCAGTCGGCAGCAGGACCCCCGGGCTGTATGGAAACACCACCAGCAACCATTCCACAGCTGCCAACAGACCCGAGGCTGTACGGAACCACCGTCAGTCGTCTCACGGCTGCCAACACCCCTGGCCCCACAGCAACAGCTAGCGCCCACCAGGGTCCTCGCCTCCTCGCTACATGCAACTTGATGAGGAAGGGTCAGTTCTCCCAAGACTTGGCCCGGCAGCCACACGTGTTAGGCCCAGACATGTGAGCAGATTGAGAACGCTGTCTGGTGGGAACCCTCACTGACACGGGCTGCGATCCTGTCCCGGCCACCTCCTCACACCTTCACCCCCTCATCTACGCCCCTTGCTCTGTTGTGTCCCTAGCACCTCGTTATCACCTGCCCTAGGCTGTGAACCCGAGAAGTGGGGACCTTGGCTGCCTCCTCTACCTGGGACACAGCAGGCTCACGGAGGTGAATCGTGACTGACGGGGCTGTGGGGACAGTGTGCCTGAGCCACATGGCCAGTCGCTGGCACATAGCCCTCTGTGAAACCGCACGTGGCAGAAGGGCCCAACTCCACCAGGACCCTGACGGGACAGGAAGCTGCTCTCTGACCTCCTGTCACCATCGAGATCAGCCTGCAGGACTCTGTCCCCACACGGACACCGGCCCACGACTCCAGAAAGCTCAGGGAGGGTGCAGGAGCCTGTGCTGTGCAGTCCCAGGACAACCTTGTCTCTGAGTTCTTCAACTCCCTGGGAAGTGCGGTCTGCGGACCGGGCCCCTCCTGCATGGCTCTGCTGACTCCCCGCAGCTCAGGCCCCTCCCTCTAGAAAAGACCTGTCTTCTGAGAGCAGGTGTTTCTCTGTCAATACTGAAACACTCATCCTAAAACCCCAAGACAGTTGGAAACCAAAGTCACTTCTGATTCATGTTCAGCTTTCAAACTCTGCTTGGGGGGGGGTGCTCACGAGGGTGCACCCACCTCCAGGGAACATGGTGAGGGCCTGTCGGATCAGGGCAGACGCCTGCTCCCTAGCAGAGCTCAGCTCCTGTTCTGGGAGGTCTGCTTGTTGACTCAACAGGAAATAGGCCAACGGCACAGAGAAGGCGAAATTTGGGAGCTGAGACAGGTTCCGATGAGCCTGCAAGGGCCAGAGAAACAAAGTCCGGAGCACTAATGTGGCAAACACAAAGGACGCGCAATTTCCAGATGCTCCGAGTCTGAGCCCTGGCGATGAGCACAAGTGTCGTGCTGGCATCTCTCTACTTGACATAAAGAACTTCATGGTACATCTGGGGGCTCTCTCTTGGCAGGAGACAAATAACAAGGCCGGGAAGGTGGTGGTGGCGGCGGCGGGGGCGGGGGGGGGGGATTCGACAGGGACAGAAAAGAGGAAGGTCCCAGGGGAGGTGGAGTCAAGTGGGGTCACAGGCGCCCACAAGCAGGCAGCCATGCTCACCCACAGTGGGAAACTCGGGAAGCCCGGGTCCAACGAGGAGCGTCCCTCCCCCTGCTGGGACCTGATCACATCCGTAAACGTGGCCGAGCACCTTGCTGGCCTTTCTCTACGTGTCCGTAACAGACAACACACCACGGGCCAGGTTTTCTCCACTAAAGCAGGGCCAAGGTCTCCACAGATCAGCAAACATTCCCCTTTAGCCCTGCTGTGGAGGGAGGGTGTGCTCCCTGGAGCTGCATTTGGGGGCTCCAGAAACTTCTGTAAACTAGGTCCCCAGAGGGGGGGCTCCTCGGTCAAAGAGCCAAATGAAAGGGTTCAGAGTGACTCACGTATGTGGTCATTTCTCAGGGACACCCACCAGCCCCGCCTCATGGGAGGTGGTCAGGGTCACACATCTCCAAGAGGGCACCAGCCCACAGAAACATGTTTTCTAGCGGCCGAATTAAAAACAGAACAGGTGAAATGAATGTTATTACTATTACACTTAACCCTGGCCCTAAAACAGCATCACTGCAACACGCTATCACCATCAAGGTCAGCGGTGAGGCAGTGCATTTTTTACAGTTCTGCCTCGAGGTCAGGACCACGACGGTGGGGGTGTGTGTGCGTGTCCGTCCCATCGGGGCCCCACCCCCCCACAGCTCAGGTACCTGCGGAAGCAGAAGCAACCCAGAGGGAGACCGGGGTCGGGGGGCGCACCCACCTCCCACTCCTGGAAGAGGCGAATCAGGTACTCGTAGTTGCGCGCCCGCAGGGCCAGGTGGTCGATCAGCAGCAGCATGCACAGGGGGTCCTCGTCGGGCTCCAAGCTTGGGGGGTGGCACAGGAGAGAGAGCACCGCGTGGGCAGGGGCGGGCAGCTGCGGGCCGCAGGGACCCTGGGCGTCAGCTGCGGGCGCTTACCTCAGGATGAGCTTGCAGAACTCCAGCGCTGTGCGCGGGCAGCCGCGCTTCTCCAGGAAGCTCATCTGTTTGTAGAGGGCCAGGTAGAAGCTCCTAGACCCAACACAGTTCCTGTGAGCCAGGGTGGCCGCAGCCCCCCAGCCGCACCGCCACCCACCATGCGCTGGTGCTTCCTGGGCAGCCCCAGAGGCGCGAAGGGTCACGAGCGTTCCTCGGTCTGCGGGCCCGGTGATGCTCCGAGCTGTCCAGTTACATGGGTCCCCAGGAAGCGCAACAAGCTCGCCATTAGCTCCGACTGTCCTGTTTTTGGTTTACTGCTCAGCATTTCGGGGAAGAGCCAACCTCTCCTGCCATCACTACCGGGAACCTCCAGTCCCAGGGGCGGCTAGGGCGCGGCTGCTGGGTGTCAGGTCTGCTGAGCTGGGTCCTCCGGGGGGGCTGGGATTGTTACCAGTGGGCACCACCCTGCTGGGCCTGCACATGTCAGTGTGTTATAACCTGTCTCCGAGAACCAACAATCTCACTGGAGAGACAAGTGGAACGAACACAGAACCAGACAATCGTGCAGTGGGGGGTCCAGGTGTCCTGGGACCCAGGCTGACGGCCAAGGTGTGTGTGCGGGACAGGAGCAAGGCTGCTGGAGGCCCTGAGTGGGTGAAGAGGGCACCAGGACAGGACACACCCATCTCCCCCGCCAAGGCCCTGAAGGCCAGGCCAAGGGCAGGAATCGGGGGTGAGGAGCGCTGGTGCCAGAGCAGGGCTCTGGAGCGGGAGACACATCTGTGAGAAGAGAGTGTCACGCAGTCATCCCGTTCAGTGCAGGGAGCGGGATCAGATTGCGTTCAAACAGCTTGATGACGGAGGAACGTAGGGCTGCCCACAGAACGTTCCAGAGCATTCCAAACTCATGGGGCACAGATCCTTTTGTCCCAATATACAAGGAAACACAACTACACACCCCCTGACCAAGCAGCGGTTTATCAGACTCATTTCTCTCAAGGACAAATGTAATCCTAGGCTAGCCCAACCCATCTGTCCTTGAGTCCGGCCCACTTATGTTCAGGTTACAAACACAGTGAGATCCCCTGGTGTGAGCTAGCAGGTGGGACAGCTCGGGGACAGACCCCCGCCACCTGCCCTAGCTGCACCTACATGGGTACTCACGTCCCATCACCGCACTGACCCACCTCGACACACCTGCCACCCTGGAAACGCACCTGTTCTCGGGCCTGCGGTAGTCCAGCCGGCAGGTCCCGCTGGTGAGGCTGAACAAGGGGTGGAAGGCGCACTCCATGCTGTACAGTGCTCTCTCTGAGGGCCACACGGACACCAGGGGAGGGGTCACGGCCAGCGCGCGGCACCTCCAAGCCTATCCTGGCAGGATTATCCCCAAGGCTCACAAAGAAAGCTCTCAAAGGAAGAAGGGAGCACAGCAAGGGTTCTGGAAAGTGCCATGGCACAGCTGTGACCCTGGGGATCACGAACGCCACTCTGTGCACTGACCTCACGCAAAGGGACGACCTTCTAGACAGGGAGATACAAACACACGTCCTCACAAAACCCACATGCACACATCCACAGCAGCTCAGTCACGGGACTCAAGAAGTGGAAACTACCCAAGAGTCCGCCAAGTAACACACCAAACACAGCCCATCCCCACTACGGAGCATCATCTGAATGAAGAGGAGGGAACCCTGAAGACATGACGGTAAATGAAAAAAGCCAGGCCAGGGTGCCTGGGGGCTCAGTCAGTGACGCATCTGCTTTTGGCTCAGGTCATAACCCCAGGATTACGGGATCGAGCCCCGAGTCGGACCCCAAGCTCAGTGGGGAGTCTGCTTGAGATTCTCTCTCCTTCTGCCCCTCCCGCCACCTCTCTCCCCCCCTTCCCCTCTTAAAAAAAGCCCTGGCAATGGCTATGTATGGCCAGCATCTTCTGGGACAGCGCCTGCGCTCCTTCAGCAGAGGGGATGCTGGGCCCGAGGGATGGCAGGGCCGGGCGCCCAGGCGAGCTCTTACCGACGAGGTCTCGGGCCATCTCCTGATCCTCCTGAAAGCGACAAGCATCACTGAGCTGCAGCAGCGAGTCCACGTGGTACGGGCTAGTCTGGAGCAGAACCTACAAGCAAAGCGGGGACGCTGCTGGGGCCACCGGCCGCGCCTCCTGGACAGCCCGCAGCAGGGCGGCAGCCCCAGGCGGGGCTTTCTCTCAGCCGCTAAAACCAGGCTCAGCGGTGCTGCTAAGCTGCGTCACCAACCAGGCCTGTGGTGGGAGCAGGGACTCTGTGCCTCAGCACCTCTAACTTCACCCTCTGCCAGTCCCCCAAGCCCTGGGATCCAGGCGTATAGCAGGGGTCAGAGGAGCCAGAAGGAGCAAGGGCTTGTGGGCCGAGGGGCTGAGGCTGGGACCCAGGCGCGGGGCAGCCTGGTAACTGAGGAGAGGATGGAGGCCGGGCAAAGACGCTCTGGGGGACACACGCACCACGATGTTATTGGGCTCCATGGACTCCACCGCGGCCAGGAACTTGTGCTGGGTCTGCTGGTACTCCTCACTGTGCTCAAAAGCAAAGGAGGAGAGGCCCTTCTTGGACTCCAGCAGCCTCATTGACAGACCTGCGGGGAGGGCAGCATCAGGCCCCTCCTGTGACCCCCACGGGCAGGCTCGGGCATACCCCACTGAATCCCCGTAAGAGCGTCTACTTTCCCACAATGCCCAGGGCTGACTGCCCGTGGTGTGGTCCACAGCAGCTTCCCGCCTATGCTTTTCCCAGGAAGAGGCTGCTTCCCCCACGGGTGTGGCCGGATCACCAGCATCCTAAGACAGCAGAGGTGAGGACACACAGGGCGCCACCCCCCCCCCACCATCTGGCTGGGCTTGAACCCCAGGCAGAGCCCAGATCTAGCTGGGCCCGGGAGACCAGTGGAAACCCTTTCTCCTCCTGCCAGAAATTGGGTGTATGAAGCCGTTTCTTCCTAGGAGCCTTCAGAAGCATCATAAAATAGGTAAATGGTTCCAGGCTACCCTCCTGCCGCACCACGGAGCCAAGGAAACTCGTCTGCCCTGGCTCGGGGCTTCTGCAAAGAGCTTCCCGTGTCCACGTTGCCGGCACACGGGACATGGGCAGGGTGGGGCCATCACATGCTCCTTCCATGACGACGCTGGCCTTGTCTCTACCCTCTCTCCCGCCCCAGTCAGGCCCTATACCCAGGGGCTCTCAGATACGGGGTGTTTACGCCATACCCCAAGTGCTTCTGCACAGTTGCTGATCTTAAGTTCTACAGACTTACTAGCTGATAACCAAGTACAAACTATCACACCTGGAAAATGAACGAGATCGCTTCCTACAATACAGTATCCACAGGAAGAAAGTAGAAAAAAGCTGCATGAAACCCTATTTGAGAAAACACGCAGCTGGTGTACGGGGGCCGGGGGTCCTGGGTCCTCCAGCGCCAGGCCACGGAGCCCACAGAGCCACGCACCTGCTCTGCCGAAGCCGCAGCCCCTCACCTGGTTTGGCGTACCGCGGCCACGTGCTCTTCGGGGTCGTGAGCCAGGTACACTTGGGGTACACTCGCTGCCTCTGCCTCGGCCTGGGGAGAACAGACATGCTCACAGCTTCCCTTCACTGCCTGACCCCTGCAGGGACCATGGAAACAAAACTGTGGGGAAGGGAAGGATGGGGGCGGGGGTGGCAGAGCGATGGCCAGGACACAGGACCCTCGGGGCGCCTGGGGAGCTCAGCTGCTCAGTCTGCCTTCAGCTCAGGTCACGATCCAGGGGTCCTGGAACTGAGCCCTGCTTCGGGCTCTCTGCTCAGTGGGGAGCCTGCTTCTCCCTCTCCCTCTGCTGCTCCCCCTGCTTATGCTCTGTCAAATAAATATATAAAATCTTAAAAACAAAAACAAAAGCAAAAACAGAACGGGACCTCCGCCAGACGAAACTAGAAACTGTCACCTAAATGACCAAACAATCAGAGAAAGAAAAACAGAAAAGGGGCGCCCGGGGGGCTCAGTGGGTTAAAGCCTCTGCCTTCGGCTCAGGTCATGATCTCAGGGTCCTGGGATCGAGCCTCTGCCGGCGGGGAGCCTGCTTCCCCCTCTCCTTCTCTCTGCCTGCTCTCTGCCTACTTGTGATCTTTATCTATCAAATAAATAAATAAAATCTTAAAAAAAATAGAAAAACAGAAAATTTATAGTCCAGCAAAATGGCAGAAAAGCTAAAAAGGAAACAAAAGTAAAACACTGAAAATAAAGACATGGGGAAGAGTGAGCCTGTAGGCGCCCTGTGGAAGGAAGCGATCTGCATCCCTAAGGACCAGGCCGGACAAATGCCACGCCAGACGGGCACAGAGGACAAAGGGAGGGCTCTGTGCCTCTGTTCTGAGGTGGTCCTCTCCTCCCCTCACAAGACGCCACCAGCACAGCAGCAAGTTTTGAAAACGGAAAAATGGTGACCATGAAAAGAATTGGTGCAGCAGGACACTGACGTCAACACACTTCTGGGTGGGAATGACCAAGACAGAGCATGAGGGGGCGGCCGGAAAGGGAGGCCCAGCTCCCGAGATGCTGTGCCTGGATGGCCCCCTCCCCTCGGCCGTGCGCTCCACCTCCGTCATCCGGGGTTCTCTGCAAGGTCTCCAGACCACCCTCTTGAAGCTGTGGCCACAAACAGGTCATGTGCTGTTCACTGAGGCTTTTTTTCTTAAGTAACAGGCAAGTGGACATGTGGACACTTTTCTCTATACTTTGATAATCTGAACCATTTCACTGAGAAAAAAAAAGTCTGAGTAAGAACTGGTCTGTATTAGAAACGGGAGAAAAAAGCATGTTTCTTCTCCTGACAAGAAGGCAAAACTGTAGGAGAAAAAACATGGTACCTGAAAATCATGGTCAAAATCTAAAGAAAACTCATCATTACCTATAAAATTTTACCTTTTAACCCTGAAATCTTGGCCAGCTTAATTTTTCTCAATTAGCAGCAAAGCCAACACGGGGTTTAGATTCTGGGATAAGTCTGATCTTTGTTATGTAACAGTTCTCAGTGTTTGACGACTTCTGGGAGACGCAGCGAGGGATGCTCAAACAAGGGTCTGTTTGCAGGACTGTGTGTCGGAGGGGTGGGTGTTCAGCCTTCTGGACCCCGAGCACCGAGGCTGGCTCTGATTGGGAGCGTGGATGCCCAGAACTGCCTGGTCCCCCGAACTGCAGATAGAGCTCAGCCGTGCACTGAGCAGGGGAGCAGGCAGACACGAGCAGGGCACCAGGAGGGCTGTCCCTGCCGCTGTCGGGGGAGGCGGCGGGGGGGGGGAAGCCGTGCATAGGCCTCTGTAGAACTGAAGGCGCTGCCAGAGAGGACAACCAGAAACACACCAAGTCCACCTGTGTGCAGGCTAAGGGATGAGGGAGATGAGGGAACCAGAGCTTCTCAGGGAAAACTTTGGTGGGACTTCAAGTATTCAGTCGATGTTCTAGAAGCACGCTACTACTATAAACACAGTAACTATAATCCCTGTGAACGACCGTTACACAAACATAAGACTGGGCAGAGATATGAAGGAACAGCAAAGACGGACCAAGCCAACCCAAACCAGTGGAACAGGGTGGGGAGAGACACGCCCTTCAGCCAGGTGACAAAGAGGAACATCCTGAAGTGACAACATTTTTCATCAACGTTCTGGAAGAAGACAAAGTAGAAATCCTTGTGTCCTGAATAACTTGACACCCAAGATAAAACCAAAAACCATTAGCAAAGAACAAGAACAATTGCTGGAATGTAAGACCCCAACCCCACTGCAGGTCAGACAGCAGGGGCTGCGGTACGTGGAGGGCAGTGGAGACCTGGAGCTGACGACACACGGGGAGAGCCACCGCTGGGCAGCTTCACTAGAAATGACCCCCAGCTGCAGGGAGACCACAGCAGCCCGTGCCCTGGGGCGCGTGCACTCCCCTCATCCACCTAGAACCTAGAACCCAGCCAGGCAGAACCAGGTGGTGTGGCACACGGCAGAGGGGCCCAGACAGGGGGCAATAAGCTCTCCTGAATGGTGATCTTGGAGGGGGGCTCAAAGGAAACAATTTTATTCTAGATTGCCCCAATTTTTTTTTTTTTAAGATTTTGAGAAAAAGAGAGCACGCACACGAGAGCATGTGTCTGCAGAGATGGGGGGCAAAGGTGATGAGGGAGCAGGAGGCTGACTGAGGACAAAGCAAAAGCTGGCACCTTGCACCCCTCTCCACCCGCTCCCCTCGGTAATATGTGTAACATTCCTCAGGCACCCCTGACAGCCATAAACGAGAAACAAATAGTTAACTTGCAGAGATCACAATCCTGCAAGACAGGAATCTTCCAACTATCTTGATGTTAATGGCTTGCTAAAAGACAACAGTGGTCTCCCCGCACCTTGTAGGCCCTCTTTAGCATACGAAAACTCCGTTGAAACCTCCCTTTCCCTCACCTTCCCCCACCCGCAGGGTACAGAACTTGCCACCCCTCACAACCCGGGGCAGGCCCACGGGTCCTGTCCCCGTGCTTTAATAAACCACCATTTTGCACCAAAGATGCCTCAAGAATTCTTTCTTGGTCATCGGCTCTGGACCTCAGCCCACCGAACCTCACCTAGGTTCTAGAACTTCATCAAAGGGAGAGAGAGACAAGCAGGGCTCTAAGTGCAGAGCCCAAAGTGGGGCTCAATCCCAGGACCCCAAGATCAAGACCTGAGCTGAAAATAAGGGTCCGATGCCCAGGCGACTAAGCCACCCGGTGCTCCTTGCTTCAATTTTTTTATTAACAACAAGCATTTAATTCTACATTTAGAAAAAATACATATACTGAAAAGCCAAAGCTTCTGCCCGTGTGGAAGCTCGCAGTCACAACCCGCCTCAATGCTGGGGATCAGGAAAGCTAACACCCACCCCTTCGACACACAGTCCTGCAAACAGACCCTCATGCTCAGAGCATTTCTCACTGCATCTCCCACAGGTCATCAAGCACTGAGAACTGTTACATAACAAAGACTAGACTTATCCCAGAATCTAAACCCTGTGTTGGCTTTGCTGCTGATGGAGAAACAAAATTTAATCTGGCCAAGATTTCAGGGCTAGAAGCTCAAAATTTCAGGACCTCCAGAATCTCTGTAAAATTGTGACTCACATGCTAGCAAAGGCAGTGTGAGGGATGGAGCCCAGTGGTCACGGAAACAGTCAAACACCAGCTCCTCCCTGACCCTTCAGGTTCCGAAGAATTTGCAGAACCAGAAATTCGAACCAGAAATTCGAAGGCTTTCCTTTGGCAAGGAGCTTTACCTCCCCTCCCCCAAAGGTTCAGAGGCCTTGAGAATACTCCCGCACATTTTTTAGAACAAAGCCAGTGTTGTGCTTACCTTTGTTCCCCAAGGACAGCTCGAGCACCAAAATACCTTTTCAGCTCTGTGTCTGGATTCAAGTGTCTAGAAAATTGAAAATTTTACAAAAAAAAATGAAATGGAGTTCTTTTACGAGTCTGGGAATTCTGAAAGGTCACATAAAACTCAGCAGGGAGAACGGCTACTCTGACATGAAAGAGAGCTCGCAGGCCTGCTTTCCCCCAAACAATGCGGATCGCAAACAGAGGCGGCCAGGACTGGGGCTGAGTCAGAGCGGCCTCAGGCCTACAGACCAGATCAAGGGGGGCTCACCCACATAGGGAAAAAAAGCTTTTGGAGCACTGGCAGCGGTCTCTTTAGTAAGAACGGGGTTTCATTAGGCATCTACTAGGACAAGAGAGGAATAATCTATCACAGAACGACATCTTACTTCAATACCATTCAAGAAAAGACCATTCCCAGATACATAAAGCTAAAAGACGGGTCCTTGGAAACAGAGTATTTCCCCTTTCCTTCTTTCTCCTTGTTCCTATTGCCTAAATGTTTGCCAATAACCCTACACTGCTGGGGCAACTGGGAGGCTCAGTGGGTTGAGCCTCTGCCTTCCGCTCAGATCATGATCCCGGGGTCCTGCAATGGAGCCCGCATCAGGCTCTCTGCTCAGCAGGGAGCCTGCTCCCCCCACCACCCCACCCTGCCTGCCTCTCTGCCTATTGTGATCTCTGTCAAATAAATAAAATCTTTAAAACAAAACAAAACAGGGATGCCTGGGTGGCTCAGTCGGTTAAGCCGCTGCCTTCAGCTTGGGTCGTGATCCCGGGGTCCTGGGATCGAGTCCCACAGCGGGCTCCTTGCTCAGTGGGGAGCCTGCTTCTCTCTCTGCCCCTGCCTGCCACTGTGCCTGCTTGTGCTCTCTCTGACAAATAAATAAATAAAATCTTTAAAAACAAAGCAAAAACAGCAAATCTACATCGCTTTTAGATACAGGAAGCCTTTCTCAAGTGTTTTTTTCCTTTTCAGGGAGTCTGTGTCTCAGCAGAGGGGAGAGAGCTGTACCTGTGCTCCACATACAGGACGTGCTTCTTGGAGCTGAGGGGAGGCGGCCCCGGGCGGTTGAAACCACTGCTGTCCTCAATCCTCTCCAAGATGCGATCGATATCTTCTAGCCCATTTTCCTAAAAACACCATAACAATATATTAATCAACACAGTAACTTTAATTTAAACGTCGTAATAATAACAAAATTATTTTTATAAGAAACACGCATTATATTGTTTACATTCCGAAAGACATCATAATCCCAATACTGAGTACTACAAATATATTTAGAAAAAAGGAGAGAGTTCAGCACTGGCAGGACCACAGAGCCAGAAGGACCCTTGAAGGAACTCAGTCACAAGCCCAACTGCTAGTCCTATAGGAGTGCCACCTCTCCTGGTGGGACTTGGGACCAGAACTACCAGCGACAGGTCCAGAAGGCTACAGCCTCCTCAGGAGACACTGCATTCGATGGTGCAGACTGAAGGAAACAGGCTTCTGACAACAGACCACACCCAGAGGTTCGCACCTCACCAGTCCGTCAGGCCGGCGGCCTAGAAAAAGCTCAGGGCACGGGGCCAAAGACTGAGAAGGGACTCTGCCAGCCGAGAATGTCACTTCAGATGGTGGCCAGGACGTGGCTATCAAGAGTGAGGGCGTCTAACCCTCAAGAAATGAAGTGGAGGAACATCAGCCAAGCTTGGTTTGTGACCTTCCCTAACCTCTGAACTAGATTCCTAAGGGGAAGAAATCAAAACACGAAATAAAAATGAGTTGCTTCTACCACCACTTTGAAAAACAGCCAGATGCACATACCAAAATTTCTCCTGTAGTGTTTTTCTTATTTTTCTGTTTCTTTTTCTTCTTTCGGAGTTTGCCGCTTACATTAGACTAAGAAAAGAAGCACATTTTGGTCAATGGAAAGACACAATAAAATGTGAAAATCTGACAACTAAAGCAGCAAGATGAAGAGGGACCTGGGACCTCAAGAGACTCACAGGGCCCAAACCATCCACCCACCTGCCCTCTGCTTTCGTCTTTCACTTTGCCAACCACCATCCCTACCACACGCAGCTGCCCTGGAGACGGGGCCCTGCACACCTCCCCCCATACCCCCGGTGCCTCCCTCCCCTGCACACCTCCCCCCATACCCTCGGTGCCTCCACCCAGCCGCCTCCCTCCTTGCAGCGTCAGCCCCCCACCATCCTGCGCTCGGGCAGGGTCCACGCCACCCATGAGTCCGCTCTCTCCGGCCGCACTTGTCCATCACTGGCTACACAAACAAGCAGAAGCCCCCAAGAGACCCTCTCCTGTGCCGCACCATAGCCACACTGCGACACCAACCGGGGCCGCAGTTCCTCAAGGCCTGGCACCCCCAGAGCCCCGCCCACCGGACCAGAGTCGCAGCCACACAGTCCCAGAGCACACACAGGATGCCGAGCACAAGCAGACCCTCCCCGAGTGCGAAGGCAGGTCGCGTGCTAGAGAACCTTGTCGAGGGGACCCTGTATGTGCCCCCTTAAGAGCTTCCTGCAAATCTTCTCCAGGGTCCCAAGGAAACTGTGGAGCAGCTGCAAGGGATGAAAATGACAGCACAGAGTGGGTGCGGTGGCTCCCCATACCTGCTCCGGGGGCGCTCCCTTGTCAGCCACTTCTCCAGCCTTCTTGCGGTCAGCACCTCCACTCTGCGACCTCCTTTTGTTCCCTGACACCACAGCGCCCGTAAGCAGACCATCGGGTCTCTCCCCATTGAGCACAGGTCCCTCCTCCAGGTCTTCGATGTTGATCTGGAGAGACATAGGCGAGAACCAGAATGTTCCAGGTGTCCCGGTCACAGAATAAACTGGGATACTGAGCTGTGTCAGAGCTGAAAGCGGGCAGAGCTGGGGCAGGGAGACCTATGCAGGGTCGCTCTGAGGTCACAGTGGGAAGAAAAACACCCATGTGGATGCGCCCAGCAGAGCTGTGGTTCTTACCTTCTCAACAAGCCCTGCTGTAGGGTCATCTTAGTCAACGAACCCCAGAGATGCCAGGGCCCAGGGTGGCTCCTTGTGTCTCTGTCCTTACAGCTGACATAATGAAGAATCCCCAAACCTTACAACCTATCTCCCTTGCTGACCACCACCCCAGGGCAAAGATCTCTAAACAGCCCATTCATGTTCCTTCCTGCTACCCAGAGCTCTAGCTCAGTTCATCTACAGCAGCCAACAGGACAAGGAGCTAAAGAAAAGGTACGTAGGGACTAACTTACCTAGAGACTCTTCCCTGCTAATAAAAGGAGCTCACACAACAGAACCTTGCACAGCAGTACAAAAGAGTGAACTGTGCACACACACTCACACGCAAACTCTGGAGGCGAGACGGGGGTGCGGTGGGTACAAGTCGCTGGACGAGTTCTGGCCCTTCAGCCAGTCAAGGAATAAACAAACAAAAGAGGCCAATACAGAACAATGACGAGGATGTTTCATCAGCTGGATGGGATGGACCCCATCTACTGCACATCTACTGTCCAAAAATAAATAAAACTGAGTCTTCAATTTAGGGCATCTGAAAAATATAAAGCTCAAAATATAAAATAAAAATACGATCTACTTTAACCCCCACAACCCTGAGATAATTTTCTTATTTATTTATTTGTTTATTTTTAAAAGATTTTATTCATTTCTTTGACAGACAAGTAGGCAGAGAGGCAGGCAGAGAGAGAGAGAAGAAGTGGGCTCCCCTCTGAGCAGAGAGCCCCATGTGGGGCTCGATCCCAGGACCCTGGGATCATGACCTGAGCCGAAGGCAGAGGCTTTAACCCACTGAGCCACCCAGGCGCCTCAACTTTCTTTTTTAAAATTGAGATCCAGGGGCGCCCAGGTGGCTCAGTGGGTTAAGCCTCTGCCTTCTGCTCAGGTCATGATCTCAGGGTCCTGAGACGGAGCCCCACCTCTCAGGCTCTCTGCTCAGCAAGGAGCCTGCTTCTCCCTCTGCCCTTTCCCTGATTGTGCTCTCTGTCAAGTAAGTAAAATCTTAAAAAAAAAAAACAAACAACAACAACAACCTTATATTGGGGGTGGGAAAAAAAAGGACGCCTGGGTGGCTCAGTCAGTTAAATGTCTGCCTTCCACTTTGTTAATGATCCTAGGGTCCTGGGACTGAGTCCCACATCCGGATCTCTGCTCAGGGGAAGTCTGCTTCTCCCTCTGCTGCTCCGCCTTGCTTCTGCTCACTTTCTCTTACCAAAAAAAAAAAAAAAAAGAGAGAGAGAGAGCGAGAGAGAGAGAACAAATCTGAGATCATACTGTACCTGGTGAGTTTTCATTGATTTTTTTTTTTTTTTTAATCTACTGTCTCAGCTGGGAAAGTATCAAAGAAAAGAAAGCCCGAACAAGTTTTGTATCCTTTGGTTTTGCTTGCTTTGTTCACCAAGGGAAATTTCCAAGTGGCAAAGATAAATTTCAGGAGTATATTATGTTTGTCTGTCTATAAATCCATTCCTGACTTGAAAACGCTAGAATCCTACCAAAGCAGCATCTGTCCCAGCACTACCCAATACTATGGAGAGTCCTACTGTGGATACCTTTTGAGTGAGAGTGCCAGGGGCCCAAGTGTGGTCTGGTTGGTTTAGATTTGGGAACAAAGAAAGAAAACTGGACTGAGGCCTCCTGGGGCATTTCCTCTCAACAATGGGGAGAACTGGCACCTAAGCTTTCTCCGGCATTCAGCCAAATGGTACCTCCAACGCTTCCAGTGAAGCTGGGTGCCAGCCGACTCTTTTTTTTTCTCCCCTTAAGATTTATTTCTTGGGGGGCACCTGGGTGGCTCAGTGGGTTAAGCTGCTGCCTTTGGCTCAGGTCATGATCTCAGGGTCCCGCATCCGGCTCTCTGCTCAGCAGGGAGCCTGCTTCCCTTCCTCTCTCTCTGCCTGCCTCTCTGCCTACTTGTGATCTCTGTCTGTCAAATAAATAAATAAAATCTTTAAAAAAAAAAAAGATTTCTTTCTCTGAGGGGCACCTGGGTGGCTTAGTTGGCTAAGCAACTGCCTTCAGCTCAGGTTGTGGTCCCAGGGACCTGAAATCAAGACCCGCATTGAGGGCGGGGGGTGGGGGGGGGTCCACGCTCAGCGGAGAGTCTGCTCCTGCCTCTCCCTCCCCTCACATGTGCTCTCTTTCTCCTGCTAAGTAACAAATCTTAAAAAAAAAAAAAAAGATTTATTTATTTAAGAGCAAGCCAGTGTGTGCACCAGAGCAGGGGGCCCTGCCAGAGGCACCTGCCAGAGAAAGAGGAAGAAAGAGCTGGTGCAGACTCCCCACTGAGCATACCTCCCCAGGTGGGGTCAATCCCAGACCCTGAGATCATGACCTGAGCCAAAATAGAGAGTTAACCGCTTAAATGACTGAGCCACCCAGGCATGCCCCCCCTTATGATTTTCTTAATAATGCTTAATGCTTTCTCTTCTCCAGCTTACGTTAAGAACACAGTACACAGACCATCCCGCTGTGTGTGGCTGATTGTTTCTGGCCATGTCTTCTCACAAGACTTTCAGAATCAAGCAATTCCTGGCCAAGAAACAAAAGCAGAACCGTCCCATTCCCCATTGGATTCAGGTGAAAAGCAGTAATGAAATCAGGTCCAACTCCAAGAAGCGGCGCTGGAGAAGAACCAGGATGGGTCCATGGGGCATCACACGTCATGAGATGGCACACCTAGTTGGCACACGTATTTAATGAAGCTGCATGAAGACCATGTTCTAGCCTCATTCTGAGAACGTCCTTCCTACCTGCCCAACAAACATGTTTTCTCAGGGAAATGATTTTGCTGTTATTATGCCTCGGCACCAGGAGGCTGGTTCAGTGATAAATGGGAGACCCTCAGACCTTCCAACTCGACAGCTGCTGTTGTTTCTGGTCCCTGCAGTGCTGAATTCCGCCTCCTGTCAGATCACGCACAGCACCGTCCCCTGACAACCAAGTATGTAAAACGTAGCTAAGGGGTGCCTGGGTGGCTCAGTGCCTTAAGCATTTCCCTTAGGGTCAGGTCATGGACTCAGGGGTCCTGGGATCGGGTTCCCCAGTGAGCAGGGTGTCTGCCTGTCCCTCTGCCCCTCCCCCAGCTCACTCTCTCTCTCAAATAAATAAGTAAAATCTTAAAAAATAAAAATACAGTATATAATACATACAACATAGCTTCTATGTCATCAATAAAGCTTCTAGCAAACTAAGCAATCAGTAGGTAACTTTGGGGGGAATCAAAAGTTATAGGCAGATTTTTCAACTGCACGGGATTCATGCCCCAGCCCCAGTGCTGATCAAGGGCTAAATGTAATTATTTGTGAAATATTGATCTTCTTCACTTACAGGGAAAATTTCTTTTTTTTTTTTAAAGATTTTATTTATTTATTTGACAGAGATCACAAGCAGGCAGAGAGGCAGGCAGAGAGAGAGGAGGAAGCAGGCTCCCTGCTGAGCAGAGAGCCCGATGCGGGGCTTGATCCCAGGACCCTGGGATCATGACCTGAGCAGAAGGCAGCGGCCTAACCCACTGAGCCACCCAGGCGCCCAAGAGGGAAAATTTCTCAAATGCTATCAAGTCTGGTCATTTTTAGAAGTGGGTCTGTGTGGGTTTTTCTGTTGTTTTTTTTTTTTCAAATATTTTATTTATTTATTTGACAGAGAGAGATCACAAGTAGACAGAGAGGCAGGCAGAGAGAGAGAGAGAGGGAAGCAGGCTCCCTGCCGAGCAGAGAGCCCGATGCGGGACTCAATCCCAGGACCCTGAGATCATGACCTGAGCCGAAGGCAGCGGCTTAACCCACTGAGTCACCCAGGCGCCCCGGGTCTGTGTGGTTTTTAGCAGACTGTTGAGGTAGCCCTTGACTCCCAAAATACTGATTTCTATTCTACATCATCCACAATCATTGCACAGTATGTTATGCTGCAAAACTTGAACTCTACATTTAAAATGGGTGAGTTTATCATCTACACATATTACACTTCAATAGTCAGTTTTTAAAAACAACGCTGAATGAAATAGAAAAATGATTTCTAATCTAAAGCCAAAAAAAAAACCCACCCCTCAACCAACAGCCAGTCATGAGGACAAACTCGTAAACGAACAAAGGACAGTGTCTCTGCTCAGCTTTCCTCTCCTCAGGAGAACGGAGCTAGCCCCTGCACGTCTCTCAGTAAACCACTTAGGGTCATGGTTCTCCTTAAGCGCTACTGCACCCTTCACTTGGTTTCCAGTATCATTTAATATCGATGTTTGCTGAGTGTTGACTAAAGGCTGCACATGTTAACTCCCGTATCTCTGATGACAACCCCATCAAGTAAGTGAGATCATCCCTAAGACCCATGGAAACCAAAGTTTGTGTTCGGTATCTTGTCTACATTCTCTCGGCTTTGAAGAGGTGGAGCCAGGATTCAAACCTAGGTCCTTCTGCCTCCAAAGCCTGCATGCATACATTCTGGCTGGAGACAACACCTGCTGGTCCTCTTAGAGGAAATGCTGACTCACGTGGTAACTTTTCTGCATATCTGGGTGCCAGACACAGGGTGGTGGGGTCACGTTAGGGAATGGCAAGTCTGTTTCCACAAAGCTTGTGCTTCAGCAAGGAAACAAAGCAACACCAAATTAAAAAAAAAAAAACAGGTAATTTGTACAGTATATTCTGTTCATTGCCAGGAAAAAAGAAAAAAAAAAAAAAAAAAAACCAGAAGAAGGGAAATGGGAATGTGGGGGTAACTGTCCTTTTTTTGAAAGATGAGCCCAACATGGGTCTTGATCCCAGGACCCTGGGACCATGACCTGAGCTGAAGGTAGGAGCTTAACTGACTGAACCACTCAGGCACCGCTTTTTTTTTTTTTTTTTTTTTAAAGAGTTATTTATTTTAGAGAATGAGCGTGGGGGAGGGGCAGAGAGAGAGAGAAAATCCTCAAGCTGACTCCCTGCAGAGCAGGTTGTCCGAGGGTGTGGGGCTTGATCTCACAACCCTGAGATCAGGATCCACAACTCGGCAGCCACCCAGGCGCCCTGGGTAAGTGTACTTTTAAAGCAAGTAGGAGGGGTAGGCAAGCCTGAGGAAGCAACATCTGACCAAAACCTGAGGGAGGAGTGAGCCATGTGTCACCTGCTACAAGATGCTAAAGGCAGAGGCGAGAGCAAAGGGGACAGATCACTATGGCTAGAGCACAGCGAACAAGATTATAAAGAAAACAGGAGAGCTTATGGGGCGAACTGGGCCAGCCTGGAACCACTGGGGGGTTGTGAAAAAAGGAGGGCTGAGGTCAGACATGTGCTTAACAGGGTCACTATGGCTGACCACTGTGTTCAGAGACTGCAAAGGAAGAAGAGCAGAACCAGGACTGGGCACAAGGATGGTGACGATCCAGGCCACAGGCAATGGTCACCCCCAGGTGCTGCACCAGTGGTCTGAGTGTATCGTGTGAGAGAGAAAGCAGCTCAGGGATGCCCTCATATTGCTGGCGTGGACAAGAGGAAACGTGGAGATGCCCTCCACAGAGACTGGGAAGCCTGGAGGAGGCAGGAAGGGCAGTGAGCATTGGACACACTGGGTTTGAGATGTCTGTGAAAGGTCTAAGAGGAGACAGATGTTGCGCTGGGTACATGAATCCCAAGACCGGGAAGGACATCTGAGCCAATGATATCAACATCAGAAAGCGGAAGGGATGGGGCGCCTGGGTGGCTCAGTGGGTTGAGCCTCTGCCTTCGGCTCGGGTCATGATCCCAAGGACCTGGGATCGAGCCCCACGTCGGGCTCTCTGCTCGGCAGGGAGCCTGCTTCCTCCTCTCTCTCTCTGCCTGCCTCTCTGCCTACTTGTGATCTCTCTCTCTCTCTCTGTCAAATAAATAAAATAAAATCTTAAAAAAAAAAATTAAAAAAAAAAATAAAAAGAAAGCGGAAGAGGAAACAGACAGCAGAGCCCTGAGCAGAGGTACAGCCCTTGAGTCCCTGTGACAGGATCTCACAGTGAGGTCCACATCAATGTTCCTCCTCTCCTTTCGCAAGTAAGCTCCTGCCACTTTTTCCATTTCTCCCAAACACTCTGCCCTCTGTCCATCTATCCTCCTTTCTTCTTCAGCAGAACATTAACTTGCTTCAGAGACAAATACCATGACAGGGTTTAGAGTACAGGTTTTAAGCAGGAAGCCTAGATTTACTCTGTAGGTGTCACTTACTACCTTGTTTGCACAAGGGGACACTAGGACCACCTTCCCAGACTACCAGAATCCCATGACACAGCAGCAGTGCCTGGAATGTGTAAATGTCCTCCAAACAAAAGCTACTGGTGTTAAAGACTGAATCTGGGGAATATGGGAACCAGGAAGCACAAGGGGGTCAAACGTCCACGGAGATGGCTGACGACAGCACAAGCTGGTTTCAGCCTGTGCACAAGCGAGGTGGGAAAGAAGACTTGGATGTTCTGGAAGAAGTCAGAAAAATGACTGGCAAGGTTAAGGGCACATGATGGGACAGGAATATTGGGGAGACAGACTGCTGCGAGTCCAACTGCGGGAGCTGGGGGATAAGCACACGCAGGTTAATACCACTCTTGCTTCTGTACGTGTTTGAGATGGTTTATAATAAAAATGTCACAAAGAAAGAAAGGAAAGAAAGAAGGACAAGAAGCAGGGTGGAGGGGAGGGAGGGACGTCCAGTCGCAGAAGCAGAACAGGTGGAGACGACTACGGAGGATCTGAAGACAGGACCCGGCCCCACCTGCACCGTCTCTCGCCTTCCGAGGGAAGGTCAGCACTCTGGACGCCCAGCTCCCCAGCTCCCGGACGGGCAGCCCCCGCTCCCCACCATCTACCGACGGGAACAAGCGCGGCCGAAGAAAGCGCTGACAAAGGTCCCTGGTCTCTCCGTCATCTGCAGACCCACCGCCGGCTGTTCGAGCGCTCGGGCGCAGCGAGGAGGGGTCCAAGCTGAGCAACACAGACACGCTGGCTGCCCGCACAGGGCGGTCGGAGAAGCGAGCGCAACGCGGGGCGCGCACAAGCGAAGGACTGACTGCGGCCAGCTGCAGAAACCCCGCGGGGCGCGCACCCCTTCAACTCGCGTCCACCGAGTTGGTGCTGGGCCAGACACCTGCTGCGGGGGACCCAGCGATGAGCTAAACACCAAGTCCTGGGCTGGGAGGAGGACACAAGGCTGTGCCGCGGCCCTGCGAGCGCCTGGCGTAGCCAACGCCCAACCCCGCGACGGAGCCAAGAGCCCCCAGGGTCGGAGACGTGAAGCCCCGCGCCCCGGGCTGCGCACCCGCCTCGACGTCACGGCCACGCCCCCTCCGCCGCAGCCCAGACCGCCACGGCCCTCCTCGCCGCACCCGAGCCCGACGTAGCTACGCCCACCACCGCCCCCGCGGCAGCCCCGACCACGTAGCGCCCCGCCCCGTGACGTCACGGGCCCGCCCCTCCCACTGCCTCCCTCCCACCGCCCCCACCCCGGGCAGCCCCGTTCCTCACCAGCTCGAACCGGTTGTTGACGCAGACGCCCTCCTTCCCTGCGCCCCGGGGGCGTCGGCCGCCTGGACCCCGCTTTGGACCTTCTTCTTCCGCATCATCGTCATCGTGGAGGACAAACTGCAGGGCGCCGGGCCCAAGGGGCTCCTGGCCGCGCTGTTCCCCCCTCAGCCTCCGGAGGGCCCGGCGCGACATAGGACCCAACGGCCGCTGACGTCTGGAGACCGGGAGAAGGAAGAGCAGAAAAGAGAGCGGCCGGCGCGCCTGCGCACTTACGGCACGCTGGCGCGAGGCTGGCGTATCGCGTCTGCGCCCTGAGCTTCTCCGGAACTTCCTCTCGGTTGACAGGGCGTCAAAGAAGGTGCGGGCGCGGCCGGGCCAGTTCTCGCGCGATTTGGGCGCCTCCGCGCTGCGGTCCCTCTGGCTGTACGGGCGCTGGGCGTCTCCGGGCCTTCCGGAGGCGTGTCCGCTACCGCCGCAGAGCAGGGGCGGGGGCTGCCCTGGCTCCGAGCCGTCCACTCGCGAGCCCACCCTCTGCCCTGCGAATACGGGCTGGCCGGGCGGGAGGAACCTGCAGGCGGGGTGGACGGGGAGGCCGTGCGCGCAGGCGGGCGCGCGGCCTCGTGGCGTTGCACCTGTGCGGGTGCACCGGGGACGAACAGCCGGGCGACCGGGAGGGGAAGCGACTGCCCTCGGTCAGCGTCCGCGGCTGCAGGCGGGACAGCGCCCTTCTCATTAAAAGTAAACACGTGCGAACCGAGGAGCTTCCCAGAGGTGCAGATCTCCGCACCGCTTCCTCCCCGGGATAGACTGAAAGCGAATCTCGGGGGCCGTCCTGGGAGTTTGCCTTTTGTTGGCGTTAATGCGTCCCCGGTGATTCTCCTGTTCGTCTACATCTGGGAATCCGTGGTCTAAGGTGGAGGCTCGCCACTCTTACTGTGTCTTAATCTCCTGGGGAAATTTTTGCAATAAAGATCAAGGGCGCATTCCTAGCAATTACGAGGTGGGGTCAGGCATTGATAGTTTTTAGAAGCTCTTCGGGGATTAAAGTGTGCCGGCAAGACCGAGAACCCCCGCACTGCAGAGGTCTAAGTGCAGGAGCAAGAGGCTCTGGTGTGAGTGTGTTAGAAGAGTGGAGACAGCAGCCTTGAGTGTGGTGATCGCACTGTACTAAATTCTTACCTCCTGGGAGTAGCTGTCCCCGCCATTTCAAGTAAAGAAACTGGAATTGAGAGTAACTGGCCCAGGTAGAAGCTGGGTTTGCATGCAGGACTGTGGTTCCAGGGTTCAGTATATGTGCTGCCCAGGCGAGCACTGGTTCCACGGTTCAAATGAGGAAGGCCACTGGCAAGGACCAAGAAAGGGAGATGGGGACAGGATGGGTCATGGCCTCTGGGATCCGTCTCCCTTGACCCTTGAGGTCCACCCCATCCTGCCTTCCTCTTAAGCCTGAATGTTCCTCTCAGACTGGGCATTGGGTGTCCGGAGACTCAAGGAGGGAGAAGGTGTGCGCACACAGGCACACGTGGCTGTCAGCGTGCGCAGGCCAGAGGGTCTTGCGGTGCTTCACATTGGCTGACATGGCTGCTGTCTCTAGCCCCCAGATGCGCCACCTGCTCCAGGCACTCCCCGGGAGCCCCTTAGGTTTTACCCTCCCTACTTCCTGTAATCCTGCTGTTAAAGGGCTAGCTCAGGGAGAGCCTCCAGGACACCACTCTCAACCATTCGGATTGGCCAAGGCCAGCCTAATTAAGTAGATTTTGGGTCCCCCCCCCGAAGTGCCGTGAACAATTTATGCAGGTTTCTTGCCTCCCCTTTGGATGAAGACTTAGGGATTCTCAGCCTGGAGCTGCTGCCTCCTTTGCCCTATCACAGGAGAGCAGCCATGTGCCCCTGAGAGATGCAGCATCAGCCCAGCCTGAGTGGAGAGCATCAATCTCCCTGTCCCCACCGAAGGCATGGCCCTCAGAAGTTTGCTTGTAGACAGTTCTAGACAAAGTGAGCTCCATTTGTCACAATCCAAATCAGGTGAGGGTTGGGTTCAGTGGGGTGAGTGCACGGCTTTCAGTCCCTGGGGTCAGCAGGAGGGGACCCTGCAAGAATGGGGCAGCACCCTCCCAACTTCACCTTCAAGGGTTATGTGGCCCCCTGTGGCTCAGCCCAGATGTCCCAACATGGGTTTTTACTTTTATTTCCAAGCATTCCCATGTGGAGTAGAACCTTGGTTTCCCATTCTTGGGAATGTGGGCCTGAACCTATTGCCTGGCGCACTTCCTCGCCTGTGTAATTAAAACAGTGACAGCAGAGCTCACCTCCCAGGAGCATCTATCGATGGAGGTTGCTGCACAAAGGTTAGCTTTCCCATTGCTGGCTGTGTGACCAGGAGCAAATCTTCACCCTCTCTGTGTCTGCTTCCTCATTCTTTTTTTTTTTTTTTTTTTTTTAAGAGAGGGAGAAGGCTCCATGCCCAGGGGGAAGACCAATGAGGGGCTCAGTCTCACAACCCTGAGATCATGACCTGAACGGAAATCAAGGGCTGGACGCTTAACCAACTGAGCTGCCCAGGAACCCCTTTGCTTTCTCATTTTTTTAAAAAAAATATTTTTATTTATTTATTTGATAGACAGAGATCACAAGTAGGCAGAGAGGCAGGCAGAGAGAGAGAGGAGGAAGCAGGCTCCCCGCTGAGCAGAGAGCCCGATGTGGGGCTCGATCCCAGCACCCTGGGATCATGACCTGAGCCGAAGGCAGAGGCCCTAACCCACTGAGCCACCCAGGTGCCCCTGCTTTCTCTTTTTTAAATGGAAATAATAATACTCCCTGCCCAGGAAGTGCCCAGAGGTGTTGGAAGCTGGCTGTTTTTAATGGACTGTTGCAATTTAGTGTAACCTCCTGATGAGCTACCTCTCTGGCAGGTCCCTCTATAACAAGTCCTGTCCCTCAGGGCCTCCTCTGGGCCCCTGTGCACGTGGCAGATAGCTAGAGCCAGGCAGCTAGAACCTGGCATCTCATAGGCCTGGGTTGAGGTCGCAGATGAGCTGTTTCTTTGGCCAAATTCCTTCCCTCTTGAGTCTCCGTTTCCTTTCCTGTAAGGTGGGATGACAAGCCACCTCCCAGATGCATGTGGCCGGCTGAGCACACAGGAGCTTCAGCCCATTCTCCTGAAGAGCAGCGGGAGCTGCCCCCTCCCCCGCAAACCCCAAGGGAGTCATCTGCATGGAGAACAGGAGCAGGGATCTGGGGATGAGGCTGGCAGTTGACAGGCTCCAGGCTGAGCCACATGCAGCAGCCCTACTGGCTTTGGGACTGGGATGGCCAGATCGGGAAGTTGGGCCTCATGGACAGGAGTGGGTGTGAGTGGCCTCGTCTCATGGTGGGCATCCTGAATGGACACCAGAGAGCAGGTGGCCCCCAAGAGCCCAGCTTCTGCCCTCGGAGACTGTGCCCATCGCTGTGGCTCTGGAGTTCTCAGTCCACACCCCAGACGGAAGACTGTGAGACCGCCTTTATTAGGCCAAGAGCAGCTCTGTGTACATATTTACAGACTTCCTCCCCATACCAGGATCACCAGCATCACTGGGGCCCTGGAACCAGCACCATCTCTGCACCTCTGAGTCTGGGAGGATGGCTGGGGCCTGGGTGCTGGCCAGGGGGCAAGGAGTGAGCCTGGCCTTGGACCTTCCAACTGGAAGGCTATGATGCTGCTAGCAGGCTGCCCACTCCTGATCTTTCCAGCTGCCTCCTCAGGCCAGGTTCCACTCAGAGTGCCCCTGTCTACCTGGGGACCAAAGCATCCCGTCGTCCCAGCCTGGACATCCACCCAGGGAGAGTAAACTGCTGTGTTCTCATCCTTGGGATGGAGAAGAGAACAAACACCGGGATGAGGGTCTTCCCAGAGCTCTGGCGCCTGGAGCCCACTGCTGTATCTCCAACCTGCCCTTTTTCCAGAGTGAGAAAACCCACTCATGTCCTGTCCCTGAACCCCAGCAACTCCCAACAACTCCCAAAGGAAACAGCCTCCCCCAGGGAGGGTCCTGGAGTGAGCCTGACCCCAAATAAACTCTGGGGCCAGGAAACATGTCTATAAATATATAGGCTGTGTGTGTATTATATAAATGTATCTATATATGTATATATGTACATGCACACTTGGGAGGGCAGCTGTGCCCCAGGACGGGGAGCTTCTCAGCCAGGGCAGGACTAGCCTGGCTCCTCCCCAGAGGCCTGGCTGCCTTGAAGAGCCTCTGGCTGGTGGCCCAGGAGGTCAAGAGCCATCACTTGAAGTTGAGAGTCCAGGTGTTGGGGACACAGAGAGACTGGGTTTGGCGGGTACGGCGAGGTGTGGCGTTGAGCGCATCCACACTCCTGCGGCTGGAGCGAACCACGTCCGCCACGAAGCTGGTGCAGTCGCTGCAGACGTCCTTGAGGACACAGCCATGGGTGTAGATGTGCGGGAATGCCTCCTCCACACTCTGCCACTGGGGCCCCTGCAGGGATCTGGAGCAGGACAGAGCTGTCAGGGACGTCCCCTCCTGTCTCTCTGTATCCACAGCCCACCCCGTCCCTCCCCCCAGCAAAAGCCTTCCCTCGAGAGTTAGTGGGAGGCCTGGGATCTGCTCACCACTTCAGTTTCCAGCTCCTCCCACTCAGCCCCCAGACCCATCTGAGACCGCTCTTCCTGGACGACTGCCTTGGATTTCCACGTCCTGGGAGTGTCCTCGCAAACCATCCCCACACACAGCTCCTGTGTTACTATCAGTGCCTGCGACCCCAGTGACATCAGCAGAGGGCAAAGAGACTCACTGGAAGGCCTCTGTTCTCTGGGTTGGTGTAGTGTTGGTAGTTGACACCCTCCGAGGACTCTCAAAGCCCAGCGTGTAGACGGGAATGTGTGCAAACTTCTTAGAAGGCATCTTCATCTACAACACACACAGGGAGATATGAACCAGGCACCCACAGGGACAGGCGCAGGCACACACCCACACACCTGCTCTGGGCCCGTGTGACACCCTGGGGGTGTCGAGAGGCCATTCTTTGCTCCACTCCATGCTGCCATCTGCAGGCGTGGGCGCCCTTGCTTGGTACCCACGCCAACCACAACATGTGCCCATGTAGACGGACGCTTGTACCACCCGTGACCTGGCGCACGTGCTGAGGCGGAGCTTTCCCGAAGTGAAATGGCAGGACACAGAGGGTTTGGAAATCGTGGTGGGAAAACCCCTTTCCAGCACTCCTGGTTTCTAGGCTGAGGTGAACCAGGATGACATGGTTCTAAGTGTGATGAACCTTCTGTGCCTGTCTGTCTGCAGGTACAGACGCCCCCGAGTGCTGTGCGGAGCCTGTCTGGAAACGTTCAAGGAGGCTGTAGTGTCAGAAATTAGGACTTTCACAGGGGAAGTGAAGGGTTTTTCCTGCTAACGTGGAATGTTAAAGAACATTTTTTAAAAGACCACTTACAAGTCTTTAAAAACTACACAGTCTTGGGGCGCCTGGGTGGCTCAGTCAGTTAAGGGTCTGACCCTTGACTTTGAATCCGGTCATGAGCTAGAGTCCTGCCCCTTTCCTCCGTGCTCAGCAGGGAGTCTGCTTCTCCCTCTGCCCCTCCCCCCACTCTAAAAATAATAAAAATAAAACCTGCACAGTTTCGGGAAGTGTTAGGAGTGGGTTCTGTGTGGAGGAAGGAGATGAACAAGGTAGGGCTGGTCATGTGTGACCTGCTCACAGGAGACGGCACTCCCGGTTCTCCCTCCTCTTGGAGAAAGAGAAAGGGTGCGCCCCTCCCCCCCAGTTCTGCGACTCTTGACAAGCCACGTCGGTCACAGGACACGTCGCGCACCTGCTCAGGCCCCGATGCTGCTCACCTTAACGCTGCAGGAAGCGCAGACGGCCCTGGAAGGGAAGGAAGGGGGTCAGCTGCGAAGAGGCCACAGAGAAACCGTTCCCACCGTCAACTGCCCTCCCCTGCTCGACCCCCATTTGTTCAGTATTTCACTTAGTTTATCCCCAAATCTTGCTTTTCTCTTTAATTAGCTGTACATCCAAAATATGTGTGTCCCTGACACACTCTGGACAGTTTGGTCTGGGTTTTCTCACGTGCCCAACACTCCCCACCACAAGCCCCCCGAGCCACAGGGGCCACGGGTGAGTGGCTCAGTTTCGAGCTGTGACGGATATCTTGTTGTTCCCCATTCCTGATTTCGAGAATGAATGCCTTCTTGGAAAAAAAACCTGACAGAGAGACGACTGTGATAGAGACCCAGGAGTCCTGTCCCGTAAAGCCCGTCCTCAGAGGGTCCTTGCTGACTGGTTTCCCTTCTCCAGATCGAAGTGTGATCGACAGAGATACACATTTAAACGTAAAATAAAAATAAAAGAAATGGGGTATTATGCATAGTATCTACAAAGTTACATCAGGGGACGAATTGTCCAAATTCATTTTTTGAAAGAACAGATGGTGTCATCTTGCGTGGACTTTTTGTTTTGTTTCGTTTTAAATTTTATTTATTTTCTTGAGGGAGAGAGAGTGCGCACACGTGCCAGCTGGGGGAGGGGCAGAGGGAGAGGGACCGCTGGGCTCCATCCCAGGGTCTTGGGATCATGACCTGAGCCAAAGGCAGACTGCCTGTATGTTTTATAGTTGG